TGTATCCACGCACAACACTGTTTTACTGCTGATCAACCTACTTGCACTTAATTTTTTATTTGTCTTCTACATTTAAAATGCTTTCTCTGAAGGAGTTTCCTATGTGATTGCAGATATTTAGGGCTGACTTCAGTTGTCCTCCGTGGTTCTCCTCAAGTGCAAAGAAATTAATCAAGAGAATCCTAGACCCCAATCCATTGACTGTAAGTTCTTGTCTCTTGCCCTTTGCCCATGCTTTCTTTCTTTCTCCCCATTTTAAAGGTTTATTTTTTTCTGGTGGTATTTTTGAATTCATTTTGTGCCAAAGGTTGCTTGCCTTATGTTCTCTTTAAGGCTTTTTTTGGATATAGTTTTCACTCCTTGTTACTTGTGATTGAACCAGAGGATAACAATTGCTGAGATTATTGAGAATGAGTGGTTTAAGAAAGGATATATGCCACCTAGGTTTGAGCAAGCTGATGTTACTCTTGATGATGTGGATGCCATTTTCAATGAATCAGGGGTAACAGTTGTGTTTTTCACATATGGAACGTGTTTTTATTGTGTTGATGCAATAGGTTGAGTCTCTGTACATGATTTTGGTAGCAGGATTCTCGAAACCTTGTTGTCGAACGGCGTGAAGAAGGGCCTGTGGTACCTGCTACCATGAATGCTTTTGAACTTATCTCAACTTCTCAGGGTCTCAACCTCAGTAGTCTGTTTGAGAAGCAAATGGTATGTTAGCGATTTATATGTTACTTAGTATGTGGTTTAATATGTGATATATTAAGCACAAGATGGGAAATTGAATTATAGAACCTTTGAGAATCTGACACATTTTGATTCATCCAGTGAAGAAAGCCCCATTGATTGGTAGCCAGGAAAGATATCCCAGATAATTTTCTTGAATTACAGAGTGGTTCATAAATTATTTTAGCCATTTTGAAGCATGTCATTGATAATTCACCTGTTATATCCCAGTATTTACTGGTCCTTTTTTGCAGCAATTGAAAATTTAGTTTTTGAGGATGCAGCCTGGTTGAATATTTACTGATACAAAAAGTTTACTGTCAAATCTGATAGAATATGTTGCATAATGTGTATGTCTTGGGATATTATGTGTTAACTCATGCAATACATAACCTTGGGAAGTTAAGGTGGTTGCAATTTCCTCTGATTACAGGGACTTGTTAAACGGGAAACAAGATTCACATCAAAATGTTCTGCTAATGAGATAATCTCAAAAATAGAAGAAGCTGCAATGCCCTTGGGCTTTGATGTGAAGAAAAACAACTACAAGGTTTAATCCCTTCCGGACCTCTGCATTTTGACTGCTTTTAATCTTCTTAAGAAATTTAGATGAATTAATTTAAAGTTAATGTTTAAGTGAACAAATTTCCATCCTTCTTGCTTCCTTATCATGATTTTTAATCATTTATTAATAATTTTATTACCTGTTCAGTGAAGCACTGATGCTATATTTTGATGGACACTGATTGAATTTTAGTTGGTGCTTGTCACCATCCTCATATGATAAGGATTGTTTTGGTATCAAGTTCTGTCGAATAGAACTGGAGTATTGCATATCCACATTAAGCACTTGAAAGTTCTATTTCTTTGGGTCTTGTTGGCTGAAACAGAAAGATTCATATGTAACTAAATTGAGATGATATGTAGTCTCTTTAGAACTTTGACTATAAATCAGTAACTAGATGTTGGACAATTTACTCATTTCTGATGGGTTCCTTTCTTTTACCCATCTCAGATGAAGCTTCTAGGGGAAAAAACTGGACGGAAGGGTCATTTGGCTGTTACAACAGAGGTACCTCTCTTTCAGTCTTCATCTTTGGGCATAATTTCAGTTTCACCTTATTAAAAGTTGTTTGAACATGGTTATTGGTGATCTGGTCCGTAACCCCTGACCCTGCCTCTTTCCTTTTCAGATTTTTCAGGTGGCTCCTTCACTTTGCATGGTTGAACTTCGAAAGTCTGGAGGAGATACGCTGGAATTTCACAAGGTATTAGACCTGATGTTAGTGCTGCTGTGTTGTTTACTCATAAAAATGCTCTACCATTGAATAGAAATTCTAGGCCTCTGTGCTGTTAATACAGTGGATACTTTCATTTACTATTTTGCTGATAACCACGGTCACTTTATCATGTAAAACCACGCAAAGCATGTCAGTTTGATGTTCCATTTATATTACCTTGAATTCACACTCTGCTTTCTTAAATTTACAGTTCTATAATAATCTCTCTACTGGGCTAAAAGATATTGTTTGGAAAACGACAGATGAAAGAGAAGTGGAAGAAAAGAATGGTTAGTATATTGGACTGTTTAGTTGAGCATGTATCTCTTTTGCAGTGTCAATTACCTATCATCCTATGATTTTTGTTCTAAAGAGAATCTAGATTCAACATATTTTTGCGGCAGGACTGAAAATTAGGATTGTTAATTCCATGAGCTAAGTGGGATCTCATCCCCCACTTTGGGGGAAATATGGATTGTCATCTAATCTCTTCAGTCTCAACCCTTTTGCAAAATATTTTAATTGCATATAGGTATGAATTTAGATTATGTTTGATGCATAGGATTATTGAAAGGATAGGATGATAATCATCCTATATCATGTTTGATTTGTAACTAAAGAGAGGAATATGGATTGCAAGGAGGGTCAATATCCTCTTGGCATAGGATTATTCAATCCTCTCCAAGTGGAGGATTATTTTTAATCCATGGGAGTAAATTTATATGTTTAATTATACCCTTAAAAATTACATCAATAATTTAAATTGTGTAAACTTTGAGGAAAGATAATTTTGACAAATAAATAAATTATCCTATCTTAATCCTTGAATACATCGAACATAAAATAAGATGACATTATTTAATTTAATCTTATTTATAGTATCATCTTATCCTATCCTATCATAATCTTATGAATCAAACATTACCTTAACGTGGATGGCTTGTAGCATGTCAGCATTTTGCAGTTAGGAGATGTTATATTCTGTTAGAATAATGCAAAAGCAAAATAAAGTGTATCAAATTTACCTTCTATTTAATCATATAGGTTGTAATGGGTCTTGTTTTTATCTTTATCTAATACAGATTTACACTAGAGAAATGTGAGAGATTAGTGACCATAAAATTTCATTCCCAGCATGTCCTAGTGGCCGTAAAATTGGACTCTTGTATTTTTAGCTTTCTTTCATGGTTTTCCTTGGATGATTGCAGGGTCGGCAGCTGGCTCTACTTCATCCCAATGACGTGCATTTTCCAAAATGAACGTCGGTCAGTTCTCTTGGGCGAAATTCAGAATTCGGTTACCTTAAAGGAATATTTATCTTGTTTTTTCTTGGTTGTAACTTCACCTTTTGCAAAGCACCGTATACATGTGCCAGCTATGCGTTTGTCTCTGCTGGATGCTGTGATTCAGAAAGAACTTATACTATATATCATATTTGCTATGCTGTTTGGAGACCGAAATGTACCTATCAATTGAATTTATGAATAAATAAAATGGGAAAAAAAAAGAGAAATGTGGCTGGGATTGAAATAAGTCGTTTTTAATTTCTTCCCTTTTTTACCCCATTATCTTCCCTATATAACAAGGCAATTGCTTTTAACAGGAAAGCCACCAAGTTTTGACTCCAACGTATAAAAAATATGTAAAGCCTTTTTCTCTCTTGAAAAAAAAAAAAAAAGGCTTTGGAAGCAAGATTAAAGCCGATTTAACTTGAGGGCCTAAAAAAAGAAGTGAGGCCCGGGAGGCCCATACAATTAGAAAAAACCTGGCCCATCCCCACACTGAAAAAGAAAACTAATGCTCGTGTTATGCGCACCTGGCGAGTTTGTAAGACTCGCTAAAAAAGGCTCGGGGGGTTTCGACTCAGTTGGATTGGTCTCTGTTTCGAAATTATTACGGTAATATATTTCTTAGGCCAGAAGCGGGAGGAGCGAAGGTGCTTCAATGAAAGAAGAGGTTATTAGCTCTGGTGGGACCATAGATCCCGCTCCTGCCGCGAGGTACCAATTGTCATGTCTCTCCTTTTACTTTCTTTTCATCTCAATTCTCGAATTAGGGTTTCCTTCTTTCACAATCTTTGTTTTTTTTTTTGGGGGGGGTGAAGATAGGGCTTTTGTTTGCTGTTTCCCTGTGTGAGTTTTAGGGTTAGGGTTAGGTTTGTTGGCTGTGTTTGGCAGCTGGGAAAAGCGGGTAGAGAATAAGAGTGGGAGTTACAATTTAGGTTAATTGTTTTGCAGAGTGAACAGTGATTGAGATTTAGTTAAAGCGAAGATTTTTTGGTTTCTGGGAAAGTGAAGGACAAGTAATGCGGGTTGGGTGTTGGGTTGGGCTACAGATCCTAATTTTGTGCTGTGGCGCACTTTCTCTTGAACCCCAAAAAAGAAAAAGAAAAAGAAAAAATTGAAAACAATGAATTAAACTCAGTTTTTGTTTTAACTAGGTCACTAGGTTTATGTATATATTTCAGTAGACACACTTAATCATGGCTCTCTATGGAACTGAATAGATTGTACTCACTTTTATCCCTTCTATCTTGCTTTTTTTCTTCTATTGGTCAACCAAACTGGGTTGCTTACTTTTATCTCTAAAATTATGAATTTTGAAGGTGGAAATTTTGTGCCCTTTTGTAATAAGCAATAAGGACCTGAAATAAATGAGGGTATTTGTTCTGCTGCAAAAATTCTTGCCCTAGTTTCGAGTGATGTAAAGGAAGAACTGAGTCGAAAGGTCATGATGATCTAGAAAAGATATTATTCATCATTTCTATGGTTGTTTTGTCAACGTGCTAAGTACTTAATTAGCCCGTTTTCTGGTTATTTTTGAGGAGTGGGGGGAATAGAGGATGGAAACTAGGTTCATGTCCATTATGAATGTCATTTCATTAGCAGGAAAGTTGTTTCCTGTTAAAGAAACTGACTTATAAGTGACTTGTTAACTAACAATAAGAGGAGGTATGGACATGCCAATTCGTTCATTTATTCATTCATTTTATATGAAATAGTCATATTTATGATACTTCATTAAGAATTCAGAAAAGAAAGATTTATGCTTCTTGTTCTTTATCAGTTCTGCTGGGGCATCCTCACCTGCTGTTCCAGCAAATGTTGGAAGTGTAGATTGGTCTGGTCATGGCCAAAATTCCAAAGCAGCTTCTCAATCTTGTGTTGGATCCCAAGCACCATGGATTTCACTCAGTACTAGTGCTGGTGGATCTGCTCTTGGATCATCAAGAACTTCATGTCGACCATGGGAAAGAGGGGATCTTCTCAGGCGTTTGGCTACATTTAAGCCTATGAATTGGTTTGGGAAACCTAAGGTACGCTCTTGATCTGGTACCTCCTTAGTAGAAATGTATTATTGGAGTTTGCATTTTTTGACATGTTTTTCTTTCTTGTATGTATGTTGATCTTTGATATACATCACAGTTGGGCAATTGCCTATCACAAAGGACATCATGGATACGCTTTTAAATATAAACTTCTAAGTTTTCCCTTGGAATTAAAGTGATTGCATTTGCTTTGAGTCTAGTGCTTAAAAGATTCAGTTTTCTTTTAGTTATATGCTTAATACGATCTTAAGGCAAAGTTTTCCTTTTAATATTAAGTACAGGTTGCAAGCTCATTGGCTTGTGCTCAGAGAGGTTGGATAAATATAGATGTTGATAAAATTGCATGTGAAACATGTGGGGCATGCCTGCATTTTGCTTCCTCCCCATCCTGGGCTACTTCTGAAGGTTAGCTGCTATAATTCAACTATTTCTTTTTCTTTATTTACAACCACCATATTGTAGTGTGACCATCATAAAAACTCAGGCCTTTCTAGGTATTTGATGCTTTGAGATATGCTTAATGATATATAAGAAAATAGATGAGCAACTGTGTGATAAAAGGACGGAATAAAAGAACTCAGTTTTTGGACAGTTATGTTTATCTTTTTCCTTAAATTAATTGTGCTAATAGGAAACTATTTTTCATTGCCTGTCTATGGAATGGTTTATGACAATAATTTGACATTACTGTAGCTAAGAACATAAATTACAGGAAACCTTTATGTTTGTGTCTTTGTATATGTTTCTAAGTGGTTGATTCTAAATACTTGCTTCTGCTCTCAATCATTTTCTTTTTATATCAGCAAGGGGAATGGTGAATTGAACCATTTGTGTTTGTTTGAGTCATATTTGATGTTGCATGAACTTTTACTTATTATGGTAGGTCAATAGCTATAACAGTTGTTCTGGTTTAGGTAACATAGAAGTGGAACTGAACTGTTTTGGGGGTTTGGCTGTCATGAAGTTAATATTGGATGGTGTTTCATCTGGGGGGTTGCAGTGTTCAAGATTTTGCTAACAGTACACTGCTAATGATACACTATGCTTTGTTCTCTTTTCTTTGTATTTTTTCAAATACTATTGATATTTATCTTCTTTTTGGGGTGGTTTTCGTATCCGAAGCTGAGGATGCTGGTGAGGCCTTTTCCAAGCAGCTGGATGTTGGACACAAAGTTGCTTGTCGTTGGAGAGGAAATAGCTGTCCAGAAAGCTTGGTCCAATTCCCTCCAACAACTCAGTCTGCTCTAATTGCTGGATACAAGGACAGATGTGATGGACTTTTGCAGTTTCAGTCTCTTCCTGTAATAGCTGCATCTGCAATGGAGCATATGCGAGTAACTCGGGGTCCACAGGTTGATCGCCTTCTGTCTCAGATGCAGAATTATACGGCAGAGTTTGAATCTAGATCAGAGACTATACCAGAACTTGATAATGCTCGAGATGTTGCATTTTGTCTATACTCTCATGTAAGATATTTTAATGCTTTTTTAACTGCCGGTAATTGGCAATGTTTCAATGATCTTATGTGGTTTATCTTTTTGCAGTCACAGAAGCTCATAAGCTTGTGCGGATGGGAACCAAGATGGCTTCTAAATGTTCAAGACTGTGAAGAGCATTCTGCTCAATCAGCTAGAAATGGATGTTCTTTTGGCCCTAACACAGCCCAGGTCCATATTTCGCAGGATCCTGGACCAAGCAAAAATGCTCTTGCTTCTTCAGCCAAGGAAACTGGAAAAAATAAATTGGTAGTCGTGGAGTCTAGATCTGAATTCAGATTGTCTTTGTTAGATTGTAGCTTATGTGGTGCTACTGTCAGGATATTGGATTTTTTTACTGTTCCTCGACCTGCTCGTGTTGCTCCCAACAACATTGACATCCCTGATACAAGCAAAAAAATGGGATTGACACGTGGAGTAAGTGCAGCCAGTGGAATTAGTGGTTGGGTTGCTGCTGATGATCCAGAGAAAGAACTGACTGAGGACCGCGATGAAGTAGGAACAACCGATGAGAGAAAATTGATTCAAAAAACAGATGTTGATTTGAATCTTACAATGGCTGGGGGTCTGTCTTTTAATCAGTTGAGTAAAACAACAACATCCAGAAATATGAATGACGGAGACATGGGGCGAGATCTAATGATTGGGCAACCATCAGGTAGTGAGGTTGGTGATCGAGCAGCTTCTTATGAATCATGGGGTCCTAGTTCTCGCAAGCGAAGCTTGGAAATAGGTGCCAGTTCAGATGACAGGCTACAATTACGCCCACAGCAGGCTGATAGTGTTGAAGGAACTGTCATCGATCGTGATGGTGATGAAGTCACTGATGGCAAACAATATTCTGCTGGGCCTTCAAAACGTGCTCGTGATTCAGATATTTTTGATACTTACTGCTCACCATATCCAAGAGACTCCTCTGATGCAGGTCCAAGCCATTCAATGGGTTTTGAAACTTATGCAGATGGCAATAGAATTGCTCTGTTTAGGCAAGGAAGTGACCATGTTATTGGAATCCCATCAGCCAGAGATTCAACACGTGCATCCTCTGTAATTGCAATGGATACTGTCTGCCACAGTGCAGATGATGACTCAATGGAAAGTGTTGAAAATTATCCTGGAGATGTTGATGATATCCATTTTCCCTCATCTAGTACATATGGCCACCTTGACATGAATGACACATCAGAGTTGAATTATAGTAATCAAGCTCAGCAGAGTATTTGTTTCCAACCAGCTGCTGAAGCGGTTCCAGGTGAAATGGGCATCAGCAGTACAAATGATGGTGAGGAAATTTTCAATGCTGAAACTGTGACAGCTCATGCTAGGGATGGGCTTAGTTTTGGAATTAGTGGGGGGAGTGTTGGTATGTGTGCCAGCCATGAAGCTGAAATCCATGGAGCAGATGTCTCTGCACGTAGAACAGTTAGTGTAGTTGGTGATATAGAACCCAGAATAGAAGATGCTGAAAATCAGGGTCAAACTGGTGAATCTGCTCCAGATCCGGGATTGATGGATGAGGTTGTCCCTGATGAAATAAATAGGGAGGATCCTCACGGTGACAGCCAAGAAATGTTGTCTCGCTCTCTGGGAAGGGCTGACAGTGGTTCAAAAGTTGATGGTTCTGCCAAGGCAGAGTCTGTCGAAAGTGGTGAAAAGATAAGCCAAAGCTGCAAACTAGTCCCAGATTACAATGCTCATCCTTCTCTTTCCTGCAATGCTAATGTGTACTCTGGCAATGAATCACCCAAGAAAGGGGTAAAAAATGCTGGAAAATCATCTTCCATAAACAATTGTCCATACCCAGACCCAGAGTCAGATTATGCTGTCACAAATGGGATAGGTAAACTCTATGTGCCTTACTAGGTAGATCCAAATCATAAAATTTGCATTGAATTAGTTTTGAGGCTCTTTGGGTAGTTTGGCACTCTTATTTATTTATTTATTTATTGCACTTCAATAAGACATAAATAAGACAGAAAAAATAGTTCACCAGAAAACTGGTTGTTAAAGAAAATCAAGATTCCCCTCTTTGACGCCCTGGTATGCATAAATTTATTCTGTTAACCATGATTTTCGTAAGTTTGGTATCTTTATTTTTATAAAGGTTCTTTTCCTACATTTTTTCAGATTGTCTTGATTTTTGAAATCTGAAACTAATGATATACTGTATATTGTACTGAATACTTCTTGGATTGAATCTAAAATGTGGTTGGGCTTAGGGTTGCTTCGAGAACTATGAGCTCTAGGGTTCTGAATTATCTGATTTTGAACAACATTTCCATGGCCTAGTTTTTAGTAGATTGAAAAACTTTAGCATCTATGCATAAAATGACTACTCGGTTTGCGTACTTGTTTTTGTCAGGTAAATTATATATCTGTTATTCTATTTGCTAATTAAACAATAAGTTTGGTTTTACTACTTGACCTACCGATTGACGACTAACAGCTTGTATTGCATTTAGAATAATAACGCTGCAGGTGCAGAATTTAACCTTGTGAGTGGAACAGTTTGAAATAGCCTTTTGGGAACTTTCTGAGATAAAAGTCTGCTGTGCATTTAATTGATATGATATAATTTTTCTTCAAACTGTCATTAGTTTTCAGTGGTAATCCCTGTAGTTTGGTTTGAAATTGCTTTTATTCAACCTGCTGAAGCAATAAAAATGAGCTATTCTCAGGATCATAAAGATTTGTCTTCTGGGCCAGAATTAATTCAATCATCTGGGTCATGTTCTTATTCCTTTGATTGCTAGATCTATACGTAATTAGCATTTAGCAGTGTACCAAATGTGCGTGGAAATGTGTACCAGTTCCAATTCTAACTGATATTTACCTTCATTGACTTGACTTCCGTTTAACCATGTCAGACTTTTAGCTTTTGTTGGAACTATGTGTTTCATTCAACTGTATGAAATTTCGAAGGTGGTGTTTATTTGTTTGTGGTTCTCCATCTCTATTTCCCTTCTTTTTCTCTTCTGGATCCCTTATCAGAAGTACTTGATTTTTAGGGCCACCAAAAGGAGAAAGCAATTATGAAGAAGCTATAGAATTTGATCCAATTATTCATCACAACCAGTTCTGCCCCTGGGTGAATGGAAATGTTGCTGCTGCTGGCTGTAGTAGCTCCGGCTCCAGCTCCAGTGCTGATGTTATTTCACTTTGTGGATGGCAGTTGACCTTGGATGCTCTGGATGCTTTGCGATCACTGGGGCATGTTCCTGTGCAGACGGTACAGTCGGAGTCAGCAGCATCATTGTATAAGGTTAGTTGTCTTAAAACTAAAATATGGTGGATCTGGGGCTTAACTTTTGTTTTCTTGATTGACCAGCTTGTATAATGCTCTCATGGATGACTAGAATACATATATATTTTGAAGAAAGTGGATGGCCTAGCTAATCCCTGGAGTAAGGTCTTGAAATGGTTCCTGTTCTTGCATGCATGGTTTTGTTAATTATTTGCTGATCTTATTGATGTGTCCTTGCCTTCATTTCTTGGTAAAAAGAGTCCAAGGTTGTGAAAATCTTCCACTAAGATTAACTTCCAAGCTATGACCTAATGCTTTATACATGATAATCATGCTTTGATGAGGCATTTAAAGATTTAATCTATGTCGGTTGTGGTACTTTCACTGCTCCCTCATTCAGTTAGTTCATATTCGTTTAAAACGAAGCAGTTAGCATACCTTATGCAAAGGAGAGTGACAGAATTTGGTAGTTCATATTCATTTAAATCAATACTGTTGTAGCAGTTATTATTTCTTAAGCAAGGGGGAGTGTAGAGGTTTTTATGCAGGTTATCATATAATTAATTATTGGTGGTCATTGCTTCTACATGGGTTGTCAGATTCTGGTTAATAATGTCTTTGATTGAAGTTGTTTTAACTTCTTTTCTTTGGCAAAGAGCTAACTCCTGTAGTATCTAGGTAGTTATGGTTCATGTGTGCTCATTCGACAATTATAGGAGCAGCTGCGACAGGCTACTGGCACCTCAGATCTGCTTGACACTACTACTCTAACCCTTCTTTTCCACAACTAATTGTTGATTTCCTTATGCAGGATGATCACCAAACTCCAGGTAAAAAGATCCTTCAACGGCATTCTATGAAAAAAAGTCACGGGCAACATTAAGAGTCAAACATGAAGTGTAAAGACACATGCAATGGCTAGTAAGTACGTCATGTAAAATGATTAATTGTAGCTCCCTCTAATCATGCATCTTTCTCCATGTAATCTTAGTTTTAATTTGATTTTTGATCATCTTCCTAAAACAAGATTAGGATAGATCCTTTTAGGTATGGAACCAATTTTAGTTAGGAGATGGGCCCAAGCCTGCATTTACAATATGAAAAACTAATTGAAAAAATCTACATTTTATACCATTCCAAATCTGCAATGTATGTTATGTATAAAAAAAAATCAGAATAATTGATCTTAGGTTGACAAAACTAGAATAAAGTTCTACTGCAAGGGGTTGTGATTATTTGTGGGAGCTTTCATTTAATTAATTGTTGGTTACACAGCTGTTACAATCATTTATTTTTGGCAGGTAATAAAAGTTCTTTACATATCTTTGATTGTTTTTAAGGGGGATTTTGACTATCAATCTGATTGTACCTTAATGCTCTTATGAGAATTCTGGTATAATTTGAAAGTCAAGATGCAGTTAAAAAACTTTTGATTTTCTGTGTAATAAATCAATGAAATAAGTGGTTTCGAGCTGAAGTTTTGAAAGAATGCAGAATTTAGGTTATTAATGCCTATTATTAGACAAAAAATTCAATAATCATGGTCAAACCCAAAAGAGTACAAGAAAATATAATGAAAACATAGAAATATATTTTAGCTTTATGCATTTAGTCTCCCAGGGTTAAATATAGCAACAAATGCAGCCTTCTTTTGAACTCCAACAAAAAATGAAAAATGATGTACACAAAAATAGGAGTTTAATTGGCATCCCAAAGTTAAATACCTGCTACTGTCAATAACACATGTAACAGTCTTCTAAATTCCAAAAAAAGAAAAAAAAATTTCACCGGTACATGCCAACATAGTCATGATTTTATAATATCAAGAAAGTATGATGTTATTAGTTATAACATACTTTTGTGCTTTGGTCTGTAAAACACACAGTAAAACAAGTAATATCCAATCCTTATATTGCAAATGTGATTATCTCCATGATAGAGGTTTACTTGAAGCATGCAGCAATGTAATTATGACTACCTTCTGGCCTTCATCTATGCCAATGTCATGTAGGATGGGATAGCTTTCAATGGTCAGAGCAAAGTGGAAGCTTTTTCAGTTGCCTCGGTCAATTCTTACTTCTGTTCTTATTAAAACCTTATTTGATGGTAGAGTTTGTGTTGTTCGAGTGAGATACTTGTCTATACTGCATAAATGATCTTTTTGCTTTTTTTAAGCAGGTTCATCTGACTATTATGAGTATTATTATTCACTTGATTGGTGATGTGACAGTGAATATTACTGTTAAGAACAAATGTCTCTAGTTCTACAATTTTCATTTGGGATTCTCATTTCATGGATTGGAAATCTTGATGACACTGCTAATAAGATTAAGATTTCTGGTAATGTCGCTAAATGATAGATACATAAGACAAGCATTTGGATTACTGTTTGCTATTACGTGGCATACTGGATGGTTGTCTTAATTTTTGAAACTTTTTTTTTATTCTAATGTAGTTTATTTTGCTCCACCTTTTTCTCGGCCATTCTTTTTGCAGTTTTTTTTTTTTTTTCTGGCGTAATGTATTTGTAAGTTTAGCAGATGTGGCCCGAATCAATGAGCTACAAGAATTCTTCTGAGTTTGATTTTTATTTTATAAGATTTTTAATGTTGATTCTGGATTGAAATACATGGTGAATGTAAATTTAAGACAATGTAAGGGCAAAAAGCAGTTTTCTTTCTTTTTTTATCTTTTTCTTCTGCTGGGTTTTGGTTTGTTTAATCGATAATGGGTACACTGCAATCTTAGTTGGCTCAACCATCTTAGTAGGATTTGAGTTTGGCATGGTGCCGACGTGGTTTATCTGTGCTTAGCACCCAACAATGCCATTTTACTCTTTTACTTCCTTCAGTTACCATTGGCCTACCTGTTTATAGTCGACTCTTGATCTTGAACATGGAAGTTTGTTCACAGTGACAGATGAAATCATGATGTGAGGACATCAGATAAAACTCACAAGCGTTCTAGATTAAAGAATTTTTTTTCAATAAAAAGCTGATAATATTTGTGTATTAGGTTTATCTGCCTTTTTGAAGCCTGTTTTGATTTTATTTTTAAAGCAATTATGATGATAGAGTACCTTTGAAAGTGGCGAGTACGAAGTAATAGGATGGCCCGAATCAAGAAATTGTTATCTAAATCTAAAAGAAATCTGTCGCCAGCCAATCAATTTCAACCCAATCGCCACGTGTTATGTCACATGACATACAAATAAGACCAATAAGATCAGTTTTCGGACAAGAAAGCCTATCTTCCTGTTTTTCGACCATGTCTGCGGCAGCTGCAAGTGCATTACAATCTTCTATGTGCGTCTCTTCTCAGAAGCCATCATTTGCCCCTATAGATTCCCAAGAAGCAAACACCCTCTTAGCAGCAAAACCTAAAAGCCTCCTTCATAAACACCCTCTCTATTCATCAGCTCATCATAATCTGTCCTTCCAAATCAAAGAGAAAATCTTATGCCTTGAAATCATGGGCATCGACTCAGGTAAAGCACTCTCTCTTAACCCTTCTCTGCACAGCACTTCCCTTGATTCCCTCCGTTCCATAATTTCCTTCCTCCAATCTAAAGGCATTCACCAAAAGGACTTCGCAAGAATCTTTGGCATGTGCCCCAAAATCTTAACCTCTAACATCAGAACTGACCTTAACCCAGTTTTCAGTTTCCTCTCCCAAGACCTTAAGGTCCCAGAAAACAACTATAGGAAGGTCATCAATAAGTGTCCAAGGTTGCTTACGTCAAGTGTCAGAGACCAGCTGAAACCTGCTTTGTTCTATCTTCAAAGGCTTGGATTTAAAGATTTAGAAGCTTTGGCTTATCAAGATCCTGTATTGTTGGTTTCTAGTGTGGAACTCACCTTGATATCTAAACTGAAGTTCTTGGAAAGTATAGGGTTTTCAACTAATGAGGCAAAAAGTATGGTATTGAGGTGTCCGGGGTTGTTCACTTTCAGCATAGAAAACAACTACAAGCCAAAATTTGAGTACCTTAATGACGAGATGAATGGGACGTTGGAGGAGTTGAAGGAGTTTCCTCAGTTCTTTGCTTTTAGTTTGGAGAAGAGGATAAAACCAAGGCACATTGAAGTCATGCGAAGTGGCGTTAAATTGCCTTTGGCTGACATGCTAAAGAGCACTGATGAAGAGTTTAAAGAGTTGCTGAGACAAGGAGGCAATAGCTGATGATATGTGATTTTCTTCTTTCTTAAACCTTGTTTCATATGTAAATTTGCCAATTTCATCCAGTGCATTGTAAATGAAAGACCCAAAGCACTAAGATATTGCAATGGAATGATTTACTATGCTTTCTTTTTTCTTTCCTTTTCTGTTTTTTCCTCAATCCACATGTGGAAATTTTTCTTATGATAATGCAGTTGAACAGCATCTGGGTTGTGATATCTAATGGGCAAAAATTTAAGAGCTCAAGTCTTAACGATTGAGTGGAATCGGAATAAGAAATTAATATTCAGTTTTTACATTTTACCAACACTATCGAAATATATTTTTTTATTTTAACTGTGAAGAATAATGAATTCTTTACAATTTCCAGAAAGGAAAATTAAAAAAAAAAAAAAAAAAAGACCCATAGATTTTGACTTCTAATAACCTCATCCTGCGTTTTTTTCTTTTTTTTTTTTGTTCAACACACCAATGGCAGAAAGATGACGATTCTATTTTCTTGGCTACTTTCTAGGATTTCTGGGACTCCCAGAAAAACCTTGTTTGGCTGCCCTCAACACTGCCAATCTCTTTTCTTCTAGCACTAGTTGTCACTCGTCCACAGATTCTAACCCAAAGGTAGGTTCAAAAGCTTAGCTCTTTCATCATTTTATGGAGCAGCAACTGGTTAATTAGTTTGAAGAATATGTCATTTTAATTTTCTTTTGTCAAGTATTATGATTAAAATGAATTTTTTCTTTCAATGAAAGGTGCCATTATCGATTATCTTCAATCAGTGGAAAATTTATTTTGAAGAATCGTAATCTGAGGTTGAAAGTTGATTGTTCCACCTCAGTTAAAGATAAAAAATTAAGTCCAGAGAAAGCCTTTTGTTTTCTCTTTTATGGGTAGATTTTGTATTAACTATTTATTCTGGATGCTGTTTTACAGGAAAAGCTGACCCGTCAATCATCTTTACTTATTAATTTAAATCTTGTGAGTTTGGTTTCGAAGCTATAGATCATTCCATTTCGTCGAAACCCTTTTTCAGGGTGCTTACGTTGGCGAATCAATTTGGTTTTTTCCAGTATCATTATTGCATAATTTATGATATGGTGAAGGGAATCATAACTGCGCCCATATTATTTGCAATAGAAGAGTTTCCTCGGTTGCAAGCTGTCATCGAGTTTGAATTTCCAAGGCGGTGCTACTTAAAGCAAACAAGTGAATATGCATTTACTTTTGTCAAATTTTATACTGTGATTTTTAGATCATACGCTCCTGAGCACCTATGGAAGAGCCATGCAATCCACAAAGGTCAAGAGAGTTTGCTGCTGCAGCTATTGAATCTCTGCCTGAAAGCAGCAGCATATGGATGCAATGAAGTCAAGGCAGGCACTCATTAATCTCACTCAAATATTCACCACGAGGAATAAATGACAATAACCAATTATAGCTTTCTTTTTTTAATGATTATTTCATAATTTTAATGCTAAATTAGAAAAAGATTATTATCAAAAGTACTGTTTTCTTCGGAATGAAATGAATTTTTAAATAAAAATTTTTACTTGAATTATATTTTCAAATTATGTTATAAAGTAAAAAAAAATAAAAATCAAAGCGATTATCCAACATGATTAGATAGAAAGCATATAGAAGCAAATTCAAACATTTCACTACCCGTAAGAGTCTTTTTTTTTTCCTTTGTCATTTAGAAGTGAATTAATCTAATTTCATTACCTTACAGTTTTTGCTATTTAGTATTTTTGTATTTTTTATACATAAAATTTAAAAATAACAAAATAAATTATATATTTTTCAATGACTTCTAGAAACATATAAGGTATTTTGAAACTAACTTTTTGTATTGATATTTAGACTTTGTCAAAGTCAGGGTCGACAATCCAACCCGTTTTCGACGGGTTTCGATCTAAACCGATCTTATGAGATTGGGTTTTTTTTTTTTTTTTTAATTTGAGTTTCGGGTAGGGTTTGATCGAGTAAGATTAAGAAAAATCGGGATCGAATTTTAAGCAAATCGATCTGACCTAACCTGATATTATATAAAAAATATTTTAAAATTAATTATTTAATTTTTTATTTATATATATTTATATAATGATATTTTTAAATATTTATATTTAAAAAATAATATTTTATATTTTAAAAAATATTATTTTATTAATTTCGAGTCGTATTGGGTCGGATACAGTTTATATAGTATCGGATCGAGATCGGGTATAAAAAAAAAAAAAAATTTCGGATAAAATCGAATTTAAATTTAATAACACAAAATCAAATCGAATTCGAGACGAGTAAAATTTGTCTTAAACCTGACCTGATGTCAATCCTAACCAAAGCCCTGTTATCTTTTTACGAATAAATTTTAATGAAATTGATTGAATTGATAATAATCAATTATTTATTAATATAATAATTTAATAATTTATAAATTTAATATAAATTATAGTTGAAGATTTGGAGTTTAAGGTCCCTAAAATTTGTAACAAATAAAAACGTGAATGGCAAAAACTTAGGAAAAATCATATTTTTCTTTTTTTTTTTTCATACACCCAAATATTACACCAAATCAAAATCAAATTCAAAAGTCTTCTACTATTACTACTAAACTAATGAATAAATAAATAAATGTTAAAGAGACTTCTATTACGTTTTATAGTAATCATTTGGGATTGATAGACCAAAGATTGGTTAGAAAAAATTAAAAAATGAAAATAGGTTTCAACTTTCAATTACAAGCAAATGAAAAACAAAAGCAATCAAAGTTTTTTTTTTTTTTTTTTGGTTACGTGGCTAAAGCTGTGCTTCGCAATTCTGGAAGAAAAAATAGGTCATTAACTTGTGTGCCGGTCTTCTGCTCTCTCAACACCTTAAGCGAAGTTGGTTTGGCTGCGCTGCCTATCATATTACCCAAAGATTTTCTATCAATAAAAAAGTTTTAAATTTTCTGAGTTTTTCTGTTTGGGTTACTGGCAAAGCAGTAGTTAGAGAGAGACGGGTGAAGATGTTGTTTTGTCGGGGATTTTCTCGGATTTCTACAACTCCCAGAAAGAGCTTGTTGGGTTTCATTCTATCTCGTCCAACTGAACCTTCTCAATCCCTTCTTTCTAACCAATATCTTTACTCTACTATAAAGGTAATAACTTGACTCTACCTCTCTTTTTTCTTCAGTCTTAAAACGCTGGAAAAATGTAAGTGGCAGTTGCTCCTTAATTTTAGTTGTTTTAAAGTATAGTTTCCATTTTTTTTTCTGGGTTTTTGGTTGTTGTTCATTTTGTTAATTAATAAGAGTTCATCTATTTCTGCTCTCAAGGTATGCTAACTGGGAAATGGCTCAGGTGTTCTGTCTGATAAAATGGCACGTTTTTTTTGTTGGGTTTTGATTCCTTGCCTTGGGGTTCAATGATTATTCCTTAAAGCACGTGTTAGCTGTACATTTGAAATACAATGGTGTTGTGGCTATGCCCGGCATGAATTGATTCGGTGGTCAAAGCCACTTCTTTTCAGTCAAAGTAACATTGCTACTTTGAATTTGTAGATTGGTAATAATCAATGTGTCCAATGGGTTATATGATGACTGAATCAAATAATTCACCAAGAAGATGCCTCGGAAAGGACTACATTAATGTTCTGGATGGATTTTTGTGATAATAGATATTTTACAACATTTCTCTTTCTTTCTTTCTTTTGCCCAATTTATTTTTAATGAAATGTATGTGACAGGAAAGAGTGATTGTAAATCTTGTATGTACTGATCATTTATCTTTCTTTTTTTTTTTTTCACTGTTTCTGGGGATTAGCAGGTTTGTGGTGGTAGAAAAGCTTTTTCTTGGAGTTTGCCTTCATTGCTTGGTATTGGACGGCAAATTCATCACAGCAGCTCTGTAATAGAGGTTATGATTTTATTGTTCTTTCTTCTAAATATGCAAGTGTTTTTTTTTCATTCCCGAATTTCTCCCTTACAGTTTTAGAACAAGAGACGTGGTTGCCCAGGGACCAGATTTTCTGTAGTTAGCTTCTGCAAAACAATCCACAATCCACAAGTGTTTTAACATTTCTAATGTTCAAGGATGAAACAAGTTCTACTACTTCAGCCTTAACTTCATTACTTTTCCTTCTGTCAAATTTGTTATTGTTAATTGTTGGTGCCTGTTATCTCTAAGAGCTACTTGTTTGTTTACCTCCCACCTTTCCTGCTCTCTTGCTTTTCACCCTTCTTTTATCTTATCTTTTTTTACTGCTAAATTGAGATGGCAAGACATTTCCTTCAGGAACAATTTGACCCCTTTTCACTCGTTGCCGAAGAGCTGTCACTTGTCGCTAACAGGTTACGGGCTATGGTTGTTGCTGAGGTATCTTGCTGTTCTTTCCATGTCTCTTGAATGAAGTTTATTACATTTCCTCATGTGAGAAAGCAAAGATTTTTCTATAATGAGATGAAAATTGCGTATTCATCTCAATAGGTTCCTAAGCTTGCTTCAGCTGCTGAGTACTTCTTCAAAGTGGGGGTGGAAGGAAAGAGATTTCGTCCTACGGTAATGTACTTTTACCTGTATGGTAATATTGAGGTTGCTGGCCTTTTTCTTTTTGCAATTTGTCATCATTATGCAATTTTTGCTTTGACTGTGGGCTCTGTTATTGCTTCTAGGTTGCACTAGGCAAGGGAACCATCCAAAAATTTATAGATGAACTATTCTTGTAGCATGCTATAGGCACAGTTAGTTCTTGACTCATTCCAAATAAAAACCCATTTGACTGAGGCATAAACTTAATCTGTTACTTTTTATCAGAGAAATTTGTTTTATGCACAAACTATTTTATGAAAAATTAGGAACCATTCTCAGATTGACCTAGTTTTGAAATTATAATTATGATTACTTTCCAAAATGGTTATTGTATATGTCCTATGCAGGTTTTGCTTTTGATGGCTACAGCTTTGAATGTTCATTTACCCGAACCAGCTGCTGCCAGTGTAGGAGATACCTTGACAACTGATTTACGTACAAGACTGCAGTCTATAGCTGAGATCACAGAGATGATCCACGTCAGTTCCTCATTATTTAAAGAAGCACTGAATCTTCTTTACTATTCCGTTCAGTCTAACATGATTATTTCCTTATCCAGGTTGCTAGCCTCCTGCATGATGATGTCTTGGATGATGCGGATAAAAGACGTGGTATTGGTTCATTGAATGCTGTAATGGGCAATAAGGTACTTTTCTTTTCTTTTTCTCTTGCAATGTGCTGAAGAATTTTGTAGCCTAAGTAATTACAAAACTTTTTCTGTTTGTTTATAATACAGTTGGCTGTATTAGCTGGAGATTTTTTGCTTTCTCGAGCTTGTGTGAGCCTTGCTGCTTTAAAAAATACAGAGGTGCTTTCAATTTGTTATTATTATTTGCGTGGTTTGTGTGATGAATTTGACTAATGTAATTGTAAATTGAAAACTAGTTGCATTTACTGGCTTTAGGTTGTATCATTACTAGCAACAGTTGTGGAGCATCTGGTTACAGGTGAAACCATGCAAATGACCACTTCATCTGAACAACGTTGTAGGTATGCTTGTCTATGACTGTGTACCAATATTTCGACATATTGTTACCATGTTTTGTTACTTTATAACTGCTTTTGATTTAATTACTTGGATGTCCAGCTAGGTGTAGGCCCTGTGGTAGCCAACATGGTAGTGGCAAGCTAGATTACTGATTAACATGTATATATGATATCATATGTTTATGCTTATCTTATCATGAGTTATTTAAGTGAATGATAGTTACAGCTTACTGTAGTCAAATGTTACCGCACTGCAACTTAAAAATTTAGGAAATTTTCTCTAGTAACTTGTAAATAATACTAACTTTAAATTTTAGACTCAGTGACCATGTTTCAGTACAAACTGTTTATATTTGCAGATAACACCTACTTTCTTAGTTATAGATTGTTATGGAATGTGTAACAGTGCTCTATGGGTGAGAATAATTCCTTTATTTCTGTGTCTTATTATGCATTTCCATGCTAATGATTGCTTATGGTAACTCTGTCTTGTGCTGACTTGAATTTTAAGGATCTTTTGCTTGTAGTTAACTGAAGCTAGAATAATTTTTATGATGCAGCATGGAATATTACATGCAAAAGACATACTACAAGACTGCTTCCTTGATTTCAAACAGTTGCAAGGCAATTGCCCTTCTTGCTGGGCAAACAGCTGAAGTTGCAATGTTGGCTTTTGAGTATGGCAAAAATCTGGTTTGTAATTTTGTCTATATCTTCAACTCATCATAAATTGCAAGATCTGTTGGGGGATTTTTGTAAGATTACAGTGCATGTTTCCCTGGAAATTAGACCTGAATGATGCTTAGCCCTGCAAAACCTCAAGTGACTAGAACCCCGCTTGTTGATAGAGAATTGGTGTTAAATATGTAAATCATTGTAAAACCCTAACTCCTAAACTAATTAATAAGTAAATCAGTTTAGAAGTTGTCTTTATATGGGATGGAGAGCAGTGCAACTAAATTTGGGATGACCTGTTATGTTAGTTTCAGACTATGGTTGGTTAAAAGGGCAAGAAAATAAATATATCTGAAGATACACTAATCCTATAACAACTCAATTCACATTTTTTGTTGTCCTCTTTGCAAAACAAAACCCTCAGTTACTCGATCCAGTTTGATTGATTTTATGTCATAATGGATGGGTGTGGCTTAATGGTTTTTGTTAAAATTGCCAACTTGTTTCTGATTACCACATGGTGCACCAAAATGCCAAGTGGTCACTTTATGCAAAAGTATAATACTAGATAGTTTTAAAGCCATAGAATACCATATATTCCTTAAAACATGGACCAATTGTGGAGCAACCTACTTTAAGTATTAGCTGAGCTGTAGACCAATCAACATAATATTGGTATCCTTTATCCTTGTTCCGTGGTTTATATTGTTTATTTCTATGTGTTGTTGTTTGGTCTAACTATCCATTTTTTGAATTGCTTTCACCAGGGATTGGCATTTCAATTGATAGATGATGTTCTTGATTTTACTGGCACATCTGCGTCCCTTGGAAAAGGTTCTCTATCTGACATCCGACATGTAATTCTCTATCCTTGATGCCTTAAGCAAATGTTAAATTGCTGTGAGCTAGTAATAGCTTATGGAAGCATATTCTGTAAACCCATAGGCAGGCAGACTTGTATAATAGTTCCTTCTGCATAAATGTATTTACTCCCCTTGTCAAATACATTCTTTTTCTATTTTTTCCTTTTTATCAATTGTTTGCTCGCTAAAAACATACAAAGTAGGAACCTTTCTGTACTTTCTTTGGTCAATTTGTTCTTACCGACTTTTGACAAGGGCTTTCTTTTTAGTTCATTCTAGGTTCACAAAATGCTTCTGAATGGCATAAATAATGATGAATATATCAGTTCATCACAATCATCTGGTGTTTCAGGGAATTGTAACGGCTCCAATATTGTTTGCCATGGAAGAGTTTCCCCAGTTACATTCTGTTGTTTATCAAGGTTTTGACAACCCTGAAAACATTGACATTGTAAGTACATATAATTTATTTATCAAGCATTATATGTATTTGATGATGTTAATCTTCTATGACGCTTAGGCCTCTGCATAGAATTTGTGAATTTACCAATTTCTCCTTCTTAAGGTATTCTTTTACTCTTCACAAGATCAATGATCAATAGAGTATATAACTTGTGTGGTTTTAAGTGACTAACATCCTTTGAACTTTTCACTTGATTGAAATTTGGTTTTTATGCCATTATATTTGTGCTTTGTACGTCTGAACCAACTATGTTTTTGCAATTATATGAACCTTTATTTTGTCGAACTCATTTGACTTGATCTATATCTGAAAAAATATAGGTGCTAGAGTACCTTGGGAAGAGTCATGGAATACAGATGACAAGAGAGCTAGCCATGAAGCATGCTAACCTTGCTGCGGCAGCAATTGATTCTCTACCAGAGAGCAATGATGAGAATGTAATAAAGTCAAGGCGGGCACTAGTAGACCTTACTCAAAGAGTAATCACAAGAAACAAGTGACATGAGAGATAAGACTATAAACTTACACCAATACATAGGGCCACAGGTTCTGCTTATTGTTTTAATCATTGTTCCTTCAAGGTGAGGGGAAATCATCCCTCATATTTTCATCTATTCCGTTTCAATTATTACAAATAATAATAATTTTTCAGTAAATTTTAGATTCTGGGTTAAGACAATGCACTATTGCAGACTGTTGCGGATTATGTTGAAATGCTGTATCTTTATTTAGTTATCTACTATTACAACCTGCAAATTGCTTCTTTTACACATAGTTAACCTGTGTATGTGACTATGAAAAGAAAACCTGACCTTCCAACAATGAATGCTTAGCCTAAAAGAGACAAGCTTTGTTTTAGAAGGGGGAGATTTCATTTATGACGTTTTTTTCACTTGCATCAGAATTTTGGATTCAGATACAACAATAATTCAGAGAGGCTTCTTCTGATAGCTAAATTTTAAAGATATATCACTATTTTAGGTGGTGGGCCCTTGCATGCTTGCTGATGGTGCACCGACCTATGCTGTGGTGATTCATGATTTTAGCGTCTTCATAGTTTTCTTTTAATATGCTTACTACTTTGCAACTCTGATTCAGTGAATAGGAAACACAGGAAAAGTTGTCTAGGAAGAAGAAAATGCAGTAGAAGTTAGGGGCATGGAGCTTTTGATCTGAGATACTGATTCAACCTCGGAATATCAAACAACATTTTCAGGTTTTTTTTATCTTGAAAATTTGTTTACTGAGGTGATCTCTTTCATAGGGATTAAGCCTTTGCCATGTACGAATGTAAGTTTGATTAAACTGTTGAAAATATGAAACCAAAACAAATCTCAAGGGTTGCTCTTATAAGACTTTCCTGATCAGAAGAAAAACAGAAACCAAGGAATAGGGTATATTATAATTCTTCTAGTTATTTTCGTATAGCATCTCGATTGATTTTCTACTTATTGGGTCATCCCCTAGGAGTAGAAGGTAGCCATCTTCAAAATAACAAACAACCATACAAAATTCTTGCATATATGATCCATTGCAATTCTTACTATATCTACCAAATTAACAGTAATAAATACTTCTTGCACGTTCCCTTGCTTTTTAACCCTTTAACAGAGCTCTCAATCCTTCGAGTCCAGGGACTCCTCTTTTGCTCCCAGAAAGGTTCCAAAATTCCCTGCATTGTGGACTAGATGAAGACATCTTGGGAGATGAATGCAGCCCATGCATCCTACAGTCATATATATATATGTATAGCACCGTATTAAAGCTTGAATTTAGACTACAGTTGCAATAAGTTTTGCATCTTCAGAAAGTTTACTGGAAAACCCTCTTTGGATTTCTTCACTAGAAACTTTACCTGGAGAATGGAAAAGGCCTTCTCTGCCACGTATTTTTGTGAAAGTGTTGCACCTCTTTGTTGCAGTTTGTCTGGGTGAAGACATAGCCTGGCTTTTTGATAAGCTTTTTTCACTTGTGAGCTTTCTGTAAGGCTTGTTAGAGGGACCATCTGCCAGCCGCTATTGGGCCATAGAATCTGAATTCATGTTCATTCAACCAATTAAAAATCCATTCAAATGTCGCCCTGCAAATCAACCAAATCCTTGAACATGGAAGAAGGTTAATATCTTACGTGATGAAGTGTTGAAAGGAGCAATCGAATGTTATTTTCCTTGCCAGATGACCAAAGCTTAACATCTTCATCCAAAAGCCCCATTTTAATCTGTAGTTTTTATCAAAGGAAAATGTTACGTATTGATCAAATGTCGTTCATAAACTAATGAATAGAAAGAAGCTACAGTGACGACTATGCCTCAATTTAAGCTGTTTGAATATATATCTGTTAGATCCTATTCCTGATTTTTCTAAAAAATAAAATTTCTGAAAATGGCCAATCCTGTAACATCACAACAAGGCTCTAGCTTACCTGTTCTTCTGATCTCTCTTTTTCTTCTGCTTTCGATTGCCTTTGTTCTTCCTGCACATTAAGAAGTAGAAGGAAAACATATCAGTCAACATTGTTTATATTTAATTCTTGTAGTTTTATATTAACAAGAACTAAGGATTTCTTTATACCAAATCTTGCTTCTCAAAAGGGGAAAAAAAGTAAAAGACTACTTTACCATGGGAGTTTGCATTGTTCCATGGCCATCCATTGGCCGGTCAAATGATTCATTTGCATTAGACCTTCCTGCAAACCATATACAAAATTCTGTTACCTTGTGTTTCAATTGAGCTTCACAATAAAAATTTTCAGATCAGACTCCAATTCACAATCTCACCTTCTGTTTCAATTGGCAGGTTTTTTTCATGTTCCCTTTCAGAACTTTGAGTATTGTATCTCTCCTTTGCCCAAGCAATTGCTTCATCAATGGAAACTGCTTCCCCAGTACCCTCTTTAAAATCAGAATTGATCTCAATAACATAAGAACTCATAACTTCATCTTCATCTTCATCATCATCATCATCATCTTCTTCTTCTTCTTCATGTTGCATTGAATCGCTTGGGACTCCAACTCTTGCCTCAGTTTGTTCCTGACAAAGTGAAGAGGCAGGGGATGAAGGGGAATTAAACTCCAAATCATCTGCTGATATTTTGACACTTCGAAATGAATGGGGTTCCAAGCTAATGATTTCCGGGGAAGTGGCTCTTCGACAGAATCCATAAAATGATGAGCTTCTCATCAAGTTGTCAACATTGTTGTACTCATTTTCCATATAAGGACTTTCATTATAGAAAGAACGACTGCTTGGAAATGCTGGCATCCCTTGGTGCTTCGCTGCCGCTGGTTCTTGATCTGCCATCATTTTTGTTGAGTTCCATCTGCATGGAACATTGATTGGCCTACACCAACAAAGTTCAATGTTTTTAGCTACAAACCAGAAAATTACACTTCAATTAGATCATTAGATATAATCCAATAAATCTTTTCAAGATTCAAGCAAAACCTGAGATAAACCTGACCGTATTATCAGGAAAAAATTAGAAATGGCTAAAACCATAGTCTAATTACTGAAAATTTTGGGTGATAAAACTTTGTCAGGAACTATAGTCCTTTCAAGGTTCAGTAAAACTAAAGGCATCTTATTAAGACTAATACCCGGAAAATGGAGATTTGAAATTTCAGTATTTTGATTCAGTTTTGATCGGTATTTTTTATTTGATTTAGATTAAATTTAAACATCAAATATATATTAAGTTTTAATCGAAATTTTGGATGAATAAATAAAAATAAAAAAATAAAATTGAATTCAATTATATATGTTTATTAGTTTTATATGTGTTTTAAATTTTTATAAAATAAAATAACTATTTATATTTAATTTATTTAAATGTATTAAAAATTATATTAAAATAATTTATAAAAAATTAAATTTAAAAAATTACTGAATAAAATTTAAATTGAATCTTTAATTCATATATGAATCAAATTTTAAAAATTTATAATTTATATTATTTTAAAAAATTAAATCGAATTATATTCAAACTATAAACGTCAAGTCAACACGACAGAATCAAAACAGTTGAAAAACAGTTAAACAGTTGTTTAATTTTTAAATTTAAAAGCAGGCTGACTACCTGAGCTTTGAAGCAAAAGACGACAAACCGACATCATCTCCGGCCGCCGGCTGGAGAGGGCTCAGCTCCTCCGAACTCAGCACCGAGGACGAGTTTGACTTTGCTTTCGAATTCGACCTTGACCTTTCCCTCGACCGTCGGATATTATAATCCGACCCGAAAATGTCACTGTAGAACCCTTCCCTTCTCGCCGGAATCCTAAATTCCGGCAAGATCCGGCCACCCTTCACGGAATGAGACGAAACAAACTCCGGTGTCCGGAAAACCTCTTCGTAAAAGGATGCAGACCGGTTGAAGTCACCGGACAATTTCCGGCAGAGCACGCTCCGTGGGGGACCGCCGAATACGTCGGAAAAGTCATCTGCGTCAGGGGTATGATCAGCCACCATGGTAAAATGGCTCATTGAAAAAATGGTGTTCTCCATGGATTTTCGACGTGGGAGATTTTGGGTAGTTGACATTCCCATGCACATTCGCCAAGACTCGTCCATTTAACTAGGAGAGCAGTTCTATAGCAAATTAAGCTTTTGCAGAAAAAGAAAATGAAGTGAAGGGATTTGAGTTATGGGTTTTGGAAAAGAAGAAGTATTATATATATAAAGGAATCAAAGTGGTATAGTGAAAAAAGAAAAGAGAAGTAGCTTTTAGAAAAAGTTTAGGGTTATTTTTTTCTTTTTAGTGATTGAATTATGGTGAAAGGGATTTGAAGAATGATGATTTTGATTAGGGGAAGGTGATGAGAGGGAATAAGTGGTGGACTGGAAAATCATCGAAGTTGACACACATACACGCCTGCTTGCCTGGAAAAGCTTGTTTCTTTTGTTTGTGGTTTTTTTGTCCCCACATTGAAATTATATGTGAGCTCTTTTTCCTTTTCTCTTTTTTTTTTAGTTTTTTTTTTTTTTCTTTTTGTGTAAAGGTGATGCATTTTGATTCGGAAATAAAGGAAAAGGAAAAGGGGGATTTAAATTTGTGAAGTTGCTCTTTACTAAACTTGTATTTAAAAAAAGGGTAAATGGGACCATATAGGTATATAATTAATTATCTCAACATATTTTTTTATATTAAAGTCTCTTGATACTACAAAAAAATTTCATCTTTAACAATAGAATTTTTTGAAATAATTTATATAAATATTATTGTAAAAATATATCTTTTTAATAGTATAAAGATCCATTTGGATGAACGATAAGATTGATTTTAAAAAGATTAAAAATAATGATAATTAATAATGAGATTAATTATTATAACGATGAAATTAGATATTACAATGATAAAATTAAAATTAATTATGAGAAATATGTTTAGATAATAAAATAACAGTAGCAATGAGATCAAATATTGTAATAAAAAATAATAATTAAAAATATTATATTAAAATTTATTATAATAAAGTTTTTTATTCACTCAAAAACATTAACATATATTTTTTATATTAAAAATGAATATATATTTAGTGGTAATTATTAAATTACTTATTTTCTTATTTATGTATTTATTTGTATAATGAATATACATAAATTATTTATTATTTTAAATAATTAATCAATTAATTAATTTTTTAAAACAAAAAAATAAAAAAATAAAAATTGGTAAAATGAGAAGAAATTAGTTATGGTGAAGGGAAGTTTTTTTCAGTGGAACTTGAAGGTCCAATCACCGACCATTGCTACGGTCCAATGAACGTATCTCTACCGTGTTGCAACCTTGTTATCAAAATGCTGCATAGATCTCTATTGATACAATTTTTTTTGACAAACACTGGTGCTTTTGAATCCAAATGCACCCTAAGCGGTGTTGTGTTGTAATATATTTGTTGCGGAGATTTACATTTAATTTGTAAAGTATTATTTATTTTAATTTAAAAATTTTATGATTTTATTTTATAAAAAATATATCATAAATTTAAATTTAAGTTTATATATATATATATATATATCATAATTGATTCTTAAAATATTTCGACGTGAAATTGAGATATTATAAATTTTTTCGTTTAAAGTTTAATATTTTCATCAAACTCAATATAAAACACATAGATTTATCAAATCATACCAAGTATTGGATAAGCCCAATATAAATCATACATGATTACAAAATCACATAAAACGTTAAGATTTTAAAAGCAATTTCTATTATGTAGTAGTTAATTCTTGTAAAATTTTAAAATTGACTCTTACAATATAACATTTAACCATTGATAATCACTTTAATATCATTTATAAAGATTTACATCCGATCTAAGAGATAATTTTGATGCGAAATTGAAACTTTATATTGGTACTAATTAATTAATACATTTTGCAAGAAAAAAATATGTACAACATTGTTGCTAATACTTTTTCTAATGTTTCAATATGTAGCATGTTATAGCAATTTACATATATTTGCATGTACATATATATATTTTGTACAAAGAAAGTTAGAGCCTGTAAACAGAAGAAGCAATGTACGGTTAAGATTTAAATTTTAAATTAAAAGATTATAAATCATTTTTTTTAAAATGAATATATAAATCAATAGAATTAAATTTTAAATTAAATTTTCATAATCTTTTGAACAACATAAAAAAATGCTATATTACAATAGGTGCTGTAAATTATTTCTTGTAATAAAAATATGCATAGACGTTGTTGTAAATATTTTTTGTAAAATAATTATTTGTAACATTTTAAGCACTAAACTATAATTAACTATAGTTGCATGAATTGCTAGATTATTCCAACATGCCCAACAATATAATATATGGCTAGCAGTACCATAAAAGAAATTAAAGAAAACATAACAGTATTTTGGACATTGGAGTTGGACTATTATTTTCCCTAATAAAACCAATTTAGAGGATGAAAGATTGATTGAAGTTGGACTATAATTTATATAAACATTAAAAGAAAAAAAAAAAAAAAAAAAACCCATAATTTTGTCAATATTTGGCTACCCCATATAATGTTAATGAATCATCGGGAACGAAATGATTTGAAGCAAAAGGAATCAAGAAATCGTGTCCATTACTTTTTTTCACCTTTAGAGTACAACTTTTTAATTTCCGTTGAAATTCCAATCCCTTTCTTTTCATTTCTTTCATTCAGCAGTTTATATTTGGTTATAACAATAGAATCATATTTTTATGTGCATATATATATATATATATGAACATACTATTTTTGAAATGATCGACGAAACTTTTTTTTTATACGTTTTACGTGTGTTAGAGAGCTAGTGAGAGATCAGAGTTGGAAACTTTTGAAATGTGCCATAGGAATGTAAAATTGTAATTAAGAACAAATTACTCTTTAATAAAGATCAGATAATTGAGTGACTATTTAGTAGTATCGAAATTTTAAGCAAATGATAACTGTTTATATATGTATATATGGAAATTACAGTAAATCTTCTACAAATTAAATAAAAAATATACTAATAATTACAAAAAAATGTTCAAAATATAAAAATAAGACACTCAATGAGAATTAATTAATTAATTAGTTAAGATCAGGAGATGATATCTGCTTTGATATCATTAATTATATATTTTTTCATATTTTACCTAACGATATCTCAAACTCTTTAATTAATTAGTATTTGACTGATCAATAAATTAGAACCGAAGACCGTTCATCATTGATTTTTTTGCTATGTTTTCAGCTCCCTTCAAGCTTGCCAGGTATTAGCTAGGGACCCCCAAACCCTCCAAAAGAAAGGTTTGAGGCCCAGATTTATATCAAAGCAAGCGCGTTAAAGTAGAGAGAGATTGATCAGATGAATGAGAAACAAACAAAACCAGTCGAGATATAATATAAGAGCTACCCGGGACCTAGGCCTCATTCATCAATCGCACAAGTGTCACATGATTGAAATGTACCATACATAATTCTTGTTATCACACTCTGCCAAAATGCCAAATACATTTCGACATATATATGTAACCAACGATGAAATAATTTGTAGGAAACTAGCAAAACTTTCAACGGGCCCAAAAAAAAAAAAGTTGCTCATACTATAACTCATGCTACGATAGGCCATTTTGGTAGATATATCATTATTATACCTTTTTGATCATTTCATCTTTCTTGAAATTTTGAACGTTCAATGTGCATCTATCAAATAAATCCTTGTTAATTTCAAACAACAACGTCGCTATGGTATTTTCAAGCTGTCTTAATCACTTAGCACTGGCTAATTGCTTTTTATTTATATACTATATAGACCTTAATTTTCCTATGAAATAGTTTATTAGGATCGTGGAGAAGCGTAGGGTAATTTTATAGATAAATCATTTGTCTAATTATTGCATCTAATTGTGGAAATGGTTGAATGTTAAACTACTGCTTCATATAGCCTGGATTAGGTAAAAAAATAAAATGAAAATTATGATGATCAGGTGAGGCAGAGTATGGCTGATATCTCAGTAGCAGACAATGCATGCTCTAAGTTGATTGCCATCAAAAGCTTTTTGCCTCAAAACCGTTTACTTTCCAACACAAGTCATCATCAATCTTGAACCAAAAGATAAGTATTAATCACTCCCCAAGACTCTGTTTGGTGTTAAAGAAAAAAAAAGAAAGAAAGAAAAGAAAAGGGTAAAATTAATAACCCTGCTAAATGATGAACATCAAAGATGGCATAATCCAATATCAATGTCTTAATCTATAGAATAATCCAATCTACTTACCAACAAAAACTGCACATTGGTTTGCTTTAATATTGAGTTCGTTGGTCCAAAACAACGGCCGATGACAATTTAGGCAACCCTTCCGCATAAATGTGGTGCGGGAAGGGAACATTTCTATTCCAGAAAAAACGACAGAAGGGAAATAAAAAAGAGAGAGAAGCTGAAGGTGAGATTTTATATATTAATCATAGCTAAATAAAAACTAACAATCGATTTCTTTCAACAGTGCTCAGAATTTTTCCAGTAATCAATCAAAGAGAACACTGAAAGATACGAGCAAAGATGAAAAAAATGTCTTAAAAGTAGTTCAAGTTCAGTGGCTTCTAGGGAAGAGTTGCGTCTGCTGGTTTTTCACTATGATTTTAATATGATGAGATTCTGGAATTTAACTCACCTAGAAAACCCGGAATGTTAATATATTCGTCTCTGATAGTTTCCATATCTAGCAAAGTTTGGTTTCCATTATATTACACCAAATAATGTTTGAAACTGTTACTAAGAAAGGTAGGAGAGAGAGTCAGAGTCAGAAACAAAAATCAACGTCGGAGTCTAATCTCGTAGAAGGGAAGGCCATGTCAAATCAGAAAGCCACTAAAACAATACCCAAATGGAACATGGATATGGAGCATGGACCTTGCTTAAGGCGACTATGCATGAAACAGGGTGATGAGATTGATCTTTTTTGTACCCAAAAAAGCTGGTGTAAGTTGGCACGTGAAGATACTACAATGACAAATTGGCAAGTTGGCAATAAGAGCAAAAAAGAGTGGACAGTGCACTAATCTAAACCGGACACACCCAGCCAATAAACAGGATAACGAATATCGGGATGGGGTTGATGAATGAAATTATTGGGATGGGGTTGTTTTGGTCTTGGAAAAGACGAGGAAGAAGAGGGTAGTTTAGATTTTTCTGGATCCAAATACGTACATAACTTATGTTCCCGAAACGGTAGGCAGCACCTTGGTTATTTCTCAATTCTAAGACATCATGGGACTTAACCTAAAATATCTCATATCATAAGATAAAGAAATTTTAATCCAGGGTAAGGCTTAACCCAAGGTTTAGGCCTTCAAAGTTACAATCTTATCGTATTTCATTTAAAAAAGACATTCGGTTTTTGTTAGTCAAACAATTGAACTCCAACAAAGCACAGTCCTGTCTTAAGAGTGAATTTCACAAGGGAAATAAATTTCATTAGTACACCAAAAAGGAAGTGAACAATAGAACCTTTGGCAGCTGGATAGGTCGGCCATGAAGCAGACATGTTAGAAGGTTCCATATGGTGCCTTTCGACATAAGATACCCCTTTTGATATATCCAATTGAAATGCTAAAGCAAAAGCGAGTGAAAGCCCCACCATTTTCTTAAACCAGGGCTCCTCCACCTTTGTATTTCTCCTTTTTCATCTTTCCAGATTGTTTGGCTCCTTTAACAGGGAGATGCCTTCAATGAGTAGTTGCAAATATCGAAGCCGTATGGTTTACTATCATAATATGATAACTTTATTTTCTTTAACTAACAATGTACCACTGACAGGTCAAGAGTGGAAGAATATCAGTCCCCTCGAAACCAAATCCTTAGCAATTTCCGAAATATCATTGGCCAGTTGTAATGCCATTGAATCCCTCATGAGAAACTTGAGTACTTCAAATTCTGCGACCAGATCTTGTGGCCACAAATTTCACTGATTAACATTCGTTCCAGTGCTGACCAACAGGATTTGCACGAACATCTGAAGATCAAAACACTGCATTTGTTGCTCTGACTCTGATTTTCCAGAGCGATTACCAGGTCATTTCAGATATGACCACTTGGCTCTGCACAGAACCTGCTTTCCTCTCGCTGACCCTATTTCAATTAATTACATCCCAAGACAGAAATGAAAACACGATGTTCACCCCATTTGAATTCATAATTTCCTAAGACAGAAATGAAAACATGGTGATTAGCCATGCAAGAGAACAATAAGCTTTTTCCCTATTTAGGGACCTATATCAGGGAAGTGGACAATGTTGTTATGCAATATCCTTAATTGGAAACACTATACTTTAAACATGAGCTCGCAGATGGGCAATAATGAAGGGAGTTATGCTGTTATGTTTAAGATGTCATATGAGTCCACACCACCAGTTATGCAGAAAATTTGTAGCCAGAAATAGCACCTCAAGTAGCAAAGATTTATTACAGTTTCTATCAGGAATTGTTCGCCATAAACAAACTGTTGATTGCAGATATATATAGCCTTGTTCCATGATGGTGTCAAAACAATTATGAAGGATCTATCCCCAAATCTCTTAATCACGTTACGCCAAGAATTAATTGCACATACAACCAAACAAATAAATAAAACAAAGCACCTAGATACTCTTGCATGTTAGATCTAACACATTTTGACTATGAAAAAGAAAACTGTAAGCAACAGCTGTTATTTTTCTTCACCGTTTACCATCTATCCAGACTCGATTATTGTTGCACGAACTCAAAGATGAAATTTTACCAGTTTTGCTTATTAATTCATTTGTCAATATTTGGATAAAACTTAACAAATACAATAACATTCAAGATGGAAAAAGAAGCTGGGTCCATCATAATATCCTACCATCCCTGCTATAGAAATTTCTCATGTAAACAATCACTTTACCCTTCAACCATCAACATTATTATACAATTGCATTGAATCTCTACTTTCAAGCATCTGTTTTCAGCTGCTGCAACGCTTCAAAGTAATTTGGCTAGAAAATGGTTCATATAGTTATGTTTGACATTTCACATCATTTCTATGATATGACATCCTAAAGTTTAAAATTAGCAGCTCTAATATAGACATCATAGGATGTACCAAACTTCATTAGCAGCTCTAAAACATACAATGAATATTAATCTTGGCCCATAAAATTCTAATGTTTTAATGTAAGTGATTGGTCAACTAAGGATGGAAATAAATGAAGGTATTACCATTCACTTGCAATCTACCCCAACACACCCCTACCCAAAGAAGAAGAAAAGAGATTGGGATTACCATTTTAAAGCCACTGAACTTCAAAGAGAAAGTTCCCAGAGTTATACAATTTGAAATATGGCATCAGAACAATATCTACAGCAGTCTGATATTAAACAGCCTCATTATCCAATTTTATTCACATTGAGGTGAAAGGCATCCGCGCTCAACAAACTGTAGCATGAGGTTATCTGCCTCCACAGATTTTCCTTCTAACACGAGTTGCTTACTCACCTTCTCAGATAATTTAAGATCAGGAATCAGATTTCTGTTGAACATTCGACAAGCAACTTTATATGCAGATAGAGGCATCTCCCTGATCAAGTAAGTTTCCATAAGCAAGTTACAGGTGTTAATATTAGTTCTGGATGCTGTTCTCAAAATCCTAGCCAACAATTTATCAGCCTCCTCAAGGTTTCCAAAACTACAAAGCTTTTCGATAACTTGATTATACACTGTTTTGCACTTCTGCCTAGAAAGCATTTTTTCCAACAATTTCAACAGATCTTCCACCCTACCCATCTGGCAATATCTGTGAATGACTGTTCTGTACGTAACAGGAGTTGGATCCAACCCCTTTTTTAGCATCTTAATGGTAAGATCAGTTGCCTCTTTTATTCTACCATTCTTTCCAAGTGCATCAATTACTGTTGTATATGTGACTGCATCAGGATGTTTGTTGCTAAGATACATATCATCAAGCAATGACAAAGCAGCCTCCAGGTCATCCTTTTGACAATATCCATGAATAAGAGTAGTAAAGTTTACAACATTAACAGCACAACCCTTATTCAGACATCCCTCCAAAAACATTTTAGCCTCATCCATTTTACCCTCTTGACATAGTGACTGAATTATCAAGTTAATTTCAACCGGGGTTGGGAAAAATCCCTTGCTAACCATCTCCTTCACTACATTACATGCCTCACATAATTTTCCTTCCTTACGCAGTCCATGCATCACAACACTATAACTGATGGCATTTGGGGTCCATAACTCTTCCTCACTAACATTCATCATCTCTCTTGCCTGTAATGAACTCCCATTCCGACAAAGACCAGTTAAGAAAGCTGTATATGATACAGTGTTGGGCTTGCAGCCATGCTTGTACATATGCTGTAGCATTTTTTTAGCTTGTTCCAGCTTCCCAATGCGACAAAAACCATCAACAACGGCAGTATAAGTCACCACATCAGGACTGCAACCCTTTGACAACATTTCATTCACAATACTTTTTGCCTCATTTATTCTTCCCTGTTTACAGTAAGAGTGAACTATTGCACTATGCCCAACCTTATCAATTTGAAATCCTCTCACTTCAGCTTCCCTTAAAAATTCAAGAGCCTCATCTGCATAGCCATGCTTGGATAGCATATGGATAAGAGTGTTATAGGTAACCTGGTCAGGAAACAGATTATTGTATTTTGCCATCTTCTCCATTAAGTCCCTCACTTCATTGACCTGTTTTTGCTTACAAAGGAAACTCATTATGGTGTAATAACTAACTTTATCTGGAGAACAGTTTTTAGATGACATTTCAGCAATCAGCTGCAAAGCATTTTCAACCTGATGCACAGTACAGTATCCCTTGATCAAACAGTTATAAGTGACAACATTAGGGATAATTCCAACAATTTGCATTCTTTCAAAGAATCTCAGTGCCTTCTCCAACTTATTTGCCATAACCAAAACATGGATTGCAGTATTACATACAGCCAAATTCAGCTCAACTCCAGCCTTTTGCATTAAGGTCAATACCTTCATTGCATTCCTCAAGTTGCCAGCCCTACTATATGACACCATCAAATAACCAAATGCTTCAGGCCGACACTCAATTCCCCTACGTGCCATGAGCCGAAGAACCCGTTTAGCACCTTGACACAATTTAGTCTTACTAAGGATCTCAAGCATTACATAATATACAATTGGGTTGTGACGGTACCGCCATTGCCTATCAGCCCAATAAAAGAACTGCAAAGCAACACGTTCATCATCCTGAGAAAGCAAAACAGCACAAACTTGACGAGGTTTGAGACTTCTTAGCAGGTGCCTCAGGTCACTTTCGAGCTTTGGATTCCAAGCTGATCTAAGTTGAATCAATCTACATATCTCTCTCACCAAAGGGTGCCTAAATTCATCTTCCTCCAGCTTAACTCTCCAAACATCCTCTGTTTGCACGTGATGTCCATTACACGAATTCAATACCATAAAACTATCACCATCATCATGACAATCATCTCCTTCTTCTTCCACTGCAAACTCATCAAAATTCAGGTTTGGATTCTTTTGACACCCATCATTATGATCACCAAATAAACTCAACTCCCCAGAATCCTGGACACTCATATCTCTAAATTTATCATAATCACCATTTTCATCAAGAAAATTATCTCTTTCCGCACAATGAACACCAGAATCACTCACAGCACGAGAACCATGACTGAAATTCCTTCCTGAAAACGATGAGAAATATGCATTAAATCTAATATAGGCAAATGGGTAATCATAAAACCTGCTTGTGGGCTCACAAGAAAGCTTTTTGGGAATAAACCCGACCTTAATACAACAAAAACATGTATGAAACTGAAATAAACCAATACATTTACAAGGTCGGGCTAGGGTTCTTTGAATTCTATGATAAGAAAACGAACCAGAGCGCATTTGTACGAAATTAACGGGAAAAAGAGGAACAGATATGACCTGGGAAATTTTGTATGCTTGTGTAGAATAACTCAGTGGAGCTTGTCCAGCTTCTTCAAAGTCTTTCGTCTGCGCTGCCTTGAGGTTTGATGATAGAGGCTAAGGGAATTCTCTTTGAACTATTCTGGGCCCAGCCCCTAGAAGTTTAGGTATGCTTTAAGGCCATTAAAGTTTTTGAAGGCCAAGCCCATTAAAGTTTGTCACAAAAGAAAATGCCCATAAATAGTTTATCCGATGGTAAGAAATAATTTTATCTTTTATTTTTTTTAAGAATCAAAACCGCTCTTTTTATCTCTTCTCTTTCAAAAACCAAATTCTTATCTACTTTTTCTATTTCATTTGAAGCACCCTCTCTTTCAAAGCTCGGCAGTCATTGAAAGATAAAAGCTGAAAGTTTGAATTTTCAACCTCCTTATCTGATAAAAAAAAAAAAAAAAAGCTAAATGTGTTGGATTTTTTAGAACTAAGATGTCGTGCAAGGAAATTTCTGCGATGTCTGATGTGCTACGCCAACTTGACTTTTCTCGTGCAACTGCAATCATAATTCATAAGTAGCTGAATAAATGCCGCGTGGCTAAATAGTGCATGGGCCGGAGCCGTTACAATTCGCGGCGAGATCTTCCTTGTAAATATCTTTCACCTTTCGTATAATTCCCTCCTCGTCCCTTTTACGCATTCTGTCCCCGCTCCTCTCTCTCTTCTTCTATTAGCATCTCAAACTCAAATTTCCAAATCAAAAAAAAAAAAAAGGAAAAACAAAGATGGAGAAGCAAAATCCACTCCAAAATGGAAACATTGTTGATGTTAGTTTATTAGCCATCAAAAATGGTGATCAAGGTGGTGATGGATCGGCTCTGATCTTGCTGGGAACCGGCTGCTCCGGTGCCGTCCCCAACGCAATGTGCTTGATCCAGCCCACCGATCCTCCCTGCCACGTCTGCCCCCAATCCCTCTCCATCCCTCCCGATCGTAATCCTAATTACAGGTCACCCCCTTTTCTCTTCTTTTTCTAAAATTTAATCATCCATACATTATCTGAACTTTTTCGTGCATTTGTTTTATAAGGTGATAATTTTCGGTTTAGTTTCTTTAAAAAAATTAGTGTTTTTTCAAGCTTTGATTTTGAAGCTTTATTTTCAGGTGTAATACTTCTTTGCTTATAGATTACTGTTCGAGCGATGGTTTACACAATTATACTATAATTGATGTTGGCAAGACATTTAGGGAACAAGTTCTTCGGTGGTTTACTTTCCATAAGATTCCTCGAATCGATTCCGTGAATTAAACCTTGGAATGGTAGTTATCATTGAAATTTGGTATATTGACTAGTGGAATTCCAAACGAGTACTAATTTTTGTATGAACTGCAGATTATTTTGACTCATGAACATGCTGATGCAGTTCTTGGTTTGGATGATATACGTGCCGTGCAACCACGTAGTCCTACTAACGATATTGATCCCACTGCCGTTTACCTAGCTCAATATGCGATGGATAGGTAAAATATGAAGTTTTTATTCTTGGGGTCATTGTGCATAATACTTTTCTAGCCCTAGTTATGCAGATACATTATCAATACATATGTTGTTCACATTTTTTATAATGTGGGAAGTTATTGCTTTAACATGCTTTAAGTAGCCAAGTCGAAAGTTTGGTTTCAAGAATTAGAATTGAAGCTTATTGCCCAAACAAGTTGTCAATATAGTAGAAAGGATGTGTTACAGTTTTATGGCAACCTTGGCTGATGTTTACTTTGTTTGTCTCCAAACAGCATTGTCACAAAATTTCCATATTTGGTTCGGAAGAAACTTAGAGAAGGCCAAGAAGTAAGGCGTGTGGCACAGCTTGACTGGAAGATAATTGAGGAGCACTATGACAAACCATTTGTTGCATCAGGACTAAAATTCGTTCCGTTGCCAGTTAGTCTGCTGTCTGTTAAGATAATATACCATCTCTGCCATCTCTATCTTATGTCTAAGTGCTTGATCATATGATTGATATAGGTGATGCATGGAGAAGATTATATCTGTTTAGGTTATCTTTTTGGCGAAAAGTGTAAAGTGGCATATATATCAGATGTCTCACATTTTCCCCTCACATTTCCTTCAAATACGGAGTATGGTAGGTGCTACCTTTAATCTTTTTTCTTGTGGTCACACATAGATTTACATCTTGAACTCATATTTTCATTTTATTGGTGATGTTAAATGTGGAGATGAAACTTCTATCTGCTACATGTCATCTTGAGGAGCTTGTCAATGTTAGCATTGTAGGAATATATGTTTTAATTTTTTTACTCAAATCCTTTTCATATTACTTAAACAGATGATAAGCCTTAATCTTAGTGAGAGAGCTGTCCTGCACATTTCACAAGCAGGAAACTTTTTTATGACTTGACTCAAAATTGCAAAAGATGAGATGCTTAGAGATCATCCTTTTACTGAGTCTTCTGATCTTCTTTATGTTGAGAGGGATTTGGTGAAAAGAAAGCACATGTTCTCTCACTTCTAAGTTTTTGGTGTTCTAAATCTTGTTTTTCTGAATGATTTGCTTGTGACTTGAGTTTTCGTGGTAAATAAATTATGGCATAAATTATGTTTAATCAGAATATTGGGCTTGCAGTTATTTCCAAAAATGGTGCTGGACAATTGGATCTTCTGATATTGGATTGTTTATACAAGGTCTGTTACTGACTTGGTTCTTTCATTTTTATGCTGTTGACTACCTGCCTTGATTTTTTGTTGGTGAATTGTCCAGGACTGCCATAAGTAGAGAAATCTTTGGCAGAATTTGATCCATGCTGATTGTTAAATAACCGGTATCTGTCTAAATGTCTGTGCTGCCGTGCATCTTATGTTCTTACATCCTAGTTTGGTACCATAGATGATTACTTAATATGGTTGATATGTCAAGTGAGGTGGAATTCGCTTCTAGGTTACCAATAGTGGCCTGTTGATTTGTAAGAGTTGGAAAGAGGACATGAGGAAAGGGTAATTTTGTCTAATATTGGTATTAACTCAATTTCAGCCACCTGACAATAGTAAAAACTATTATAGAGCTATAATGAATACAAACAACAATCGCATGGTTTGATATAACAAAATTTTGAGAATTAACTATCTATGTTACCTTAACCTAGCCTTTGAAGAGCTTAAGGTTGTTGTGTTTTTCTCCCTAATCAAGAGGATGATTAAGATCTTTATATACAATTTACTCTAGTGCATTTGAAGTGTAAATATTTCCGCTTAGTCTGATCATGGTTGGGTCTAGGGTCGGCAAATCAACCCGAAACCGTCGGGTTCCGACCCGATCCGACTATTTTAGGGTCGGATTTTTTTTCAAAAATCGGGTTTAGTGTCGGGTCGGGTCGGTTTTATTTTTTTTAAAATGTCGGATTCGGGTAGGGGTCGGGTTTGCATGAAATCCGACCCTACCCGACCCGAAATATTTACCAAAATACCCTTAAGATATATATAATTTTTTTTAGGGTTTCTGAATTTTAATTTCTTTTCGCCGCTCTCTCGCCTGTAACGTCAATGATTCCAATTCCTTCTTTTGCTTCCAAACCTCAGGATCGGTTTCAGCCTTACTCTTCTCACATTCCAAAACCCTATTCTCAGTCGTTAGCTGAAAAACCCTATCTCGTCATTCTCCTCGGTCAAATCAACAACTCACTCTGTCACCCCTTTTCCTCCATAGCTAACTATCTCTTCATTGTCGCTCTCCGTAATCAGATCACCAACTTCATTATTCTGACTCTTTAAAACCTTAACTTCATCCTCAAGTACAAGCTTTGAGGCTTCTAATGTCCTAAATCTAATTCAAGTGCTTCACAGTCACTTTTCCACTTTAGAACCTCCAATTCCAGCTCCAGAAACCTTGCATCGGCTTTCTTTTTTTAACAATTACTGGAATTACGGAAACAGTGGTAGGCAGAGAAGGAGACAGAAACGTTGGTGCTTTAAAGATTAAATTAGGATCGGGTCGGGTAAAATTCGGGTAAATAATATTTAAGCGGGTCGGATTCAGGTTTTTCAGCTACAACCTCCGAGCGGGGACGGGTCGGGTATCGGGTAGAAGCATTAAAGCATCGGGTCGGAGGCGGGGAAAGTGAAAAACCGACCCGCCCCGCCCCGATGCCATCCCTAGTTGGGTCACAGATTTCTTACTAAATTCATTTGATGAACTTGTCTACTGCAATTGTAAATTAATCTTCCACTCTATTGTTTATTGCATATTGAATGATTTATGATTGTCCTTTCAATGATATTTTGCTTGCTATGTATCTTCTTCTCTGAACTACTGTTTTCTGCATACCAGCAAGGATCTCATAATGTTCACTTATGCTTACCTCAGGTTTGTTCGACATTTTCCAATAATTCTTCATTTTAGTTTTTTGATTGTCACTAGCTGCTCATATTCCATCAACTTATTTTTTCAGACTCTTGAGGCTTTAAAGAGGATATGTCCAAAACAAGCTCTATTAATCGGAATGACTCATGAATTCGATCACCACAAGGACAATGAGTTTCTTATGGAATGGTCTGAGAGGTACATTGGTTTCCAATTACTTTACAAATTTTATGGCATAATTTACCTCAGTTTCTTAGAAAGATTAATGAAAATAAAAGAAACTGGTATCTGATGGTATTCTTCTTATCTTTATGTAGGGAAGGAATCCATGTGCAACTTGCACGTGACGGTCTGAGGGTCCCCATAGACCTATAATGAGGTGAAGCATGTCCCTAGAAAATCGTTTTAAGGCCAGATGAGAATATCCTGCTCAGGGTCTAATTTATTATTTTTTCTCTCTCTTGTTCTTAAGAGGAACCATGTTTCTCACTTTTCAGACTTCTTGCAAATTGTCATACGCATGTCATGTTTTCCAAATCAATGGGATACCTTAAGGTGTCTGATCCATTTCTTCCTTAAACTAAATAAAACAGAGAGCACAAGCATTTTCCTGTGCAACTGCTAGTAAACTTCATTAATAGTTATGAAAGCTATCAATTAAGCTCTTTGCTTACATCTTCACGTCCTACAGATGAAAAAGAGCACACTAACGAATACCTTTTTCTCTTGTTTATGCAGGTTTACGCATGGACCGCAAAAACATTCATATTATTCCATCCCATTCGATGGGAGAAGAGCAATTATATTCTGTGCAAAGTATAATTATTTATAGCTTCAGTAGCTCGGTTTTAGAGTTTATCATATAGTAAACAATGTCATTAACATTTTCACAATGAGAAAAGTGCAAGCAGAAAGAATTCCTGATGTTCTTGCTTGATTACACGAAATTTTTTTCTCTTTCTGCTTTATAGCAGTTCTTTCTTCAAATGCTTTTAGTGAATCATTGAATAACTATAACTTTTACTTTGCCTTTTTAATTGAGTTTGTTTTTAATATATTGATAGTGTAATTTTTAATTTCACAAGTACGATTGTGAAGTTGTTATAATTTTTTAATTATTATTATTATTTTTAACTATACCCTAAATTGCATATCTCATCATGCTAAGTTCAAACTTGTTATTCATCTTGTAAGATTTTTTTTTACTTTTACTTGCATCTTCTGCATAAGCTCTTTGTTTCAAAGCTCATACGTGCATATCTGAATGGATAGCTGGTTTTTGTGGCCTGAGTTGCCTTTTGTTGCTAGCGTTTCAGAACAGCACAACGGTTTTAAGCACCAGAAACATGAAAACTTATGAAAAAAATTCTTGTATTTGTCAAGATAAGTCTTATAATCATGACTTGCATATAGATCCTAAGTATGAATCTAGTAATATTAGCATAAGTATAACTGTAAATGGTTTAATAGATTTAACTTCTTCTTTCTTTCATAAACTTTTTGTAAAAATTGATAATATTGAAGATAAAGTAGATATGCTTGTAGAAAAGATGAACCAAAAGCATGTTCCCCCGAAACATCTACTGATTTTGGACCACTTTACTATGACAATATTATGATGAACGATGACAAACCCTCATCTTCTACTTCAGCAAAAGCGAAACAAGAACAACTTGATTTCGACTCTTATAAATATATTATTGAAAATTTTAAATTAAAAATGAAGCAAAGTAATGATCCGCAACAACGGATTGATTACCTTAATGCTATAGAAACTCTTTATGAAGAACATAAAGATCTGTTTCTTAAATATAAATATCATTATATGCTCAACTATGATACAACCAGTATCAGTAGTGAAGAAGCAAATAGTGATATACTTGTGGTTCAAGTTCAGGATTGTAAAAATCTTTTATCTCTGTGTTAAAGAATGTAAAGTTTGTTCTTGCCAACAGTTATTCTGTGGAAGAAACTATTTGAGAATAACTCATAGGAGTCCAGTCGTTTGGATCTTGAGCAAACTGTGAGTATTCTGGTTGAATCCTCATGAAAGGGGGTCGATAAAGAGGTTGTTGGTAGAGATATAATCCTTGGTTAGGATTATTGTAAAAGTTAAATCCTTGTTTAGGATTTGTAGAGATCTGGAGTTTTGGAGAAAAAATGAGTAAAAGATGAAAAAGAAGAAGAGGATTTTTTACCTGATTTCTTCTTTACAGTTTTCCATCCACCAGTATCATGGATTGGGTGTTTTCCTCGATCCATGAGGTCTACTTAAAAAGTCTGCAAGGAGATTTTTGTCTACGTTGATGAACTCTACCTGAAAATGATAAGAACAAAAAAAATTGTACCACCTAATTCGCCTGAGATTATCAGAAAGCTTTCTATTTTGGAGAAAGTTTTTGACTGCTTGGTTTAACTTTAAATAAAACTACTCATGCTGCTAAATTGGATTGGATTCCTTCGATTACAACATTTGCAGGGCTTTGAAAACGGTGATCCATTAAAACAGCTATTATAAGAATATCCTTTGTGGATAAAAATAGTGGTTTAATGGTGATCAAAATCATTCTTATATGGATGTATTTGACCTTTGGGTATTTAGAAAGAAAATTATTTATTTTTTTTTTAGTAAAAAGAGAAATTTTTACTGAACCTTGTTTAATGTCAGTAGCAACTGTATCACCAGATAGTTTTTCTATATGACGTTTAGACCAAGGTTAGAATTTTTTAAACCAACTTGTTTTGTAAATCTCATCGGGTTTGATGAGTTGTAATTCTTTAATTTTATCATCAGAAATAAAATAAGTTTTTCTCATAATATTTTTGAGTTTTACCATACCTTCTTCGGTGGTAGTTGTTGTACCCGTGGAAGAGGAAATTGAAATATTATCTGTGTTAGATTCAGTATTCAGCATAAAAATAAAATGAGATTCATCGTCAGAAGAACTATAATCAGTTTCAGAAAAAACTTCATAATAAATTTCTTCATCAGATAATTTATCAGCAAAACAAATTTGAAGAAAACTTTCATCAAGTTTTTTGATCATTTTCTTCCCACTTTTTTCTTTGTTAGGACAAGCATTTGCATAGTGACCTTTTTTATCATAAAGAAAACATTTACAAGGATTTTTAAAAGATTTTTGCTTTTTTTTAACAACAAATTTACCTTTTTTAGGTTTAAAAGTTGTTGTAGGTTTCCATTTTTTTCATAAATATTTTTATTTTTTCTTAAAACGAGATTTCTTTGAAAAATATTGTTTATTACAACCAAATTCAAATTTATTTTTCAAAATCTTTGTGCATTGTTTATTCGAAAGTTTGGATTTTAACTATTTTACAACTTTTTGCTTCAAACAGTATTCTGTTACCTGATTCTGAATGTAATAGATTTTACATCCGAGAGTATCATACAATTATACACCTAAAAAGAATAACACATATATTATACTTACCACTCACATTTCAAAGGATCTTTTGAATTATCAACCCCTAGTATGCAGCTGACCAAGTGGAACCTAGTATTCTATTTTTCAATACGATATGCATTTGCGTTCAAATATATCATACTTACCATTTACATTTCAAAGGATTTTTAAATTATTAACCCCTAATACTCAGCTGACTAAGTGGAACCTAGTATTCTTTTTTTCAATACGATATACAGCTGTGTTCAAATATATCATCGTTATCATATAATTACAATTAAATACTACTTACTAGTATTATTGATTTTTTTCCTCCAAAAGAATATAAAAATTAACAAATCCCAGCATCCAAAATTTTAAAAAACTCTTTGGTTTGCATTTTCAATTTGCAAAACAGATTTTAATTGTGATTTAGAGATATGTTTTTTTTTTAAAAGAAAGAAAGAGAGGAAGTGTAGAAAGAGTCAAAACAGAAGACTGTTAGACTACGCCTAAAAGCTTGTATTTTCTCGGGGCTTTCAAAATCATTTTTGGCAGTTTTCCTAGGAAGTAGGCAAGGTAGACCAGGCAAACTCCAATGATTCATTGAATTTCCTCTTTCATTTTTCCAACCCCTCAACTACGATGCCAAACTGAAGTTTCTAGCTCTCCCTTTGGTTTTTTTTTTTTTGTCCTTTAATTCGTTCATTTCAAGTCATAAACAAGAAAGGAAGGTAAGAGAAAAAAATTAGTCACAGGAGATAAAAAGAACAACAACAAAAAAAAAAAAGCTATGGCTTGCTTTGTTCCTTTCAGTAACAGAAATTTGGATGGAAGTTTTTTTGTGTTCAGACAAACAGTTGTACTTGTCGATGAATTTGTTGAGTCACTGAAACAGTTCTGTCTATGCACTGAAACTCTTGGCTGTGTTCAAAGCTCTATATTCAAGAGTATCCATGGTAATCTGGTAAGCCAAAAGCGAACAACTTCTTTTTAGCTTTCCTTTTTTTTTTTTTGTCCATGATTCTCTTTTCAATACCAAACTTTGCTGGATTTTGAAGATATTTCAACTTGGCTTGTTTTCTCTTCAGATCATATGGTATGGAGGATGGACGAAGAAATCTACTGAAAACAAAGAACTTTTGACTACAACCCTTGTAAGTTGGATTGCTCCTGGTACTGACTCGTATCTTTTGCAATAGCAATTGTTTTAATTCTTAATTATACCACCCTGGTCTGTTTTTCTCCAGCTATCAATGTTATCAAGTCTGTCAAGCATGGCTGTTCTAGTTGAACATAGCTTCTTTGATGCATATGCTGGAGAATCAAAAGATGGCTCCAATGCTGCCAAGTTCTCAACAGGTGACATAGTCTCCATGAGTGTTATTGCATCTTCTGCAAGTGACCTAAATGATGTCACCTACGCAAACTTGGCCCTATTCAAGTCACGCTTCTTGAGGATGGAAGGGGCAACAGCAGGAGTTTGCTTTAAATGTCAGAGCGAGCCAAGGGTAGCATCCTTTTACGTATGGAAATCTCTTCTATTATGTTATTCCTGGATCCTTACCTCGGATTACAGGAAAACAATGCTGCCCTACCTCGATCGTTTTTCCCTCAGTATTAAGTATGACATCTTCTGGGTTGTCTATGTTAGCAGTGAAAATGTTCAGAACTATCAGATTCCCACTCAGCACCATGTACTGGAAAATGGAATAGAAACCAAAAATTAATGAAGGACGGATCATACAAGATTAAAGAACTTTTCTTGACAGTTTTGCATAGATTTTGTTGATGTAAATGATTTGTTACATGTACAACCACAAGTAGTATAATCATGGGATTTAGTCAGCTAATTGTAGTTAGGTTATGTGTAGAGCCCATATACATTGTCAATTGAATTCTTGAGAAATGAATTTAAGATTTAACATGAATCACTTTTGCAAGTTTTACTATTACCAATGCTACCAAGAAACAGGAATCAAAAACTGCAGCCTGGAATATGAGATTCAATGGACTTCCACGTCTGGTGTATGAAAGAAAGAAGGCTTCCCTTCTCATCATCATTCTTTATTTGAAGAAAAAGGTAACATAGAAAGACCAACGGAATAAGATGAATTGCCTTGACCATTGTACCAGTCACAGATACCAAGGACTCGGAATTAGTATAAGGAACGATTAACAAACATTTTTGGTCAAAAAATCTGAAAGGTGGAAGTGGAATCTTTTAGCTGCAGCTGCACCTGACTTGATAGATTAGAAGAAACCACGGGCTAAAAGATGGCTTCACCCAATCAGAGCTTTAGGGCCTTATTCTGTGCTCAACCTCAAGCCTACCAAAGCCCACCCAACACTAACCCAGTATCCTTCCCTTGTCTGTCTCGCTTTTAGCAGCCTATTTTGCAGTTATGTTCCTATGGGAATTAAAGGTGTTAATCTTCTGAGGCCATAATAATGTCAAAAAGTATATTAGCAAGCTAGTCCCACTCTGCAGCTTTTAGTGGAATCACTTGATCGAGCTTGTCACCCTTGCCAAGAATGAATTATTTCAGGTTTTGTACGAAAAAGCTTCTTTTTATTAAGTAAGATTTTCTTTTCCTCGGATTTTCTTTTCCTCTTATGGACACAATAAGAAAAGATTATGACCTAAACTCCAACCTTATCTGATATGATATCCATATTTTGACAGGAAAATTAATAATAATTATCATTACATTCTTCAAACTAACAGTAATTAAGAAGTGGTTGTTTCTGCAAATCATAGAAATTGGATGCTCAAAGTGCCAAGATTCCAATTCAGTTGATGGTAATAAAGTCTTAAAAATGGTTTGTTGTCATGAATTCTTGTGTCAGAGAAAACAAAAGTAGCAACTAGAAATAATATTTTTTTATATAGGAGATTGCAATCTGAAAAGAAAATAAAAAAAATTGTAATTTCTTTTAGCTTAAAGTATGGGGGACTTAAACAGGAAACTGAACCTAATTTAGGAACCAAAGAAGGAATGTAATCTGCAATTTTTCCCCTCTTTATTCACAAAGTTGTAATGTGCACATTAAGTTAGATGGTAGGCATAAGGTGTAAATGATACATTAGTACTCGTAAGTTACTCGGGTTCGATTCGAAAAAAACTCGAATTCGGTTCGATTATTGTCGAGTTGAGCTCGAGCTCGAGTAGCTTGACTTATCGATCGAGTCGAATTCGAGTATTCTTATATCTGATTCAAGTAACTCGCGAGTCTAATCGAATTTTTATATTTAAATATATTTTTATTATTTTAATTAATAAAATATTTCGAGTTCGAGTTTGAATTCGAGCATGAATAATTGAACTCTTGTCGAATATACAAATCGAACTTATTTTTACATATTAATCGAGCTTAATCGAGCGAGTTTGAGTAGCTCGAATTCGATCACGAATCGAGCTCGAAGTTGAAAAATAAAATTCGATCGAGCTCGAACCGAGTATCAAACCTCTAATTGTGAGTCGAACTCGAACTCGAACTTCTCACTATTCGACTCGACTCATTTACACCCCTAGATAGACAGGCAAATGAATTAGCACTTCAACCTCTCAATTAACTTGACGTACATATGAAGTTCTTTTAATATTGATCAAGATTAATATCCTATCCCCATTTATTTAAGCTTGAACTTGGTTTTGTGATCAACATCAGAAAAGCTATCAATCAATTAACTGTTGAATCACTTTAAGCCACCCTGCTGCCAGGTTTCCTGATGAATCAACATCAATTGCCAAGCTTTTGAAGGCAATCAAAAACCTTTGGTGGGTGAGATTTCCATAATTCTAGGTACTTAAACAAGTACATGTCTACCAATAAATTGCACGACCGACATTAAAGGGTAATTGAGAACTTTGAATTGCTATACCTTCAACAAGCTTTTTATATCCATCTTTATTTAAGTCCTTTCCAAAAGGTCCTATTCCATGGTTGACCTTAAAGCTAAACAAACATAAATTAGTGTCTGAAACTTTTGAACAAAGAAGACAGATTTACAAACCAAAACTTTCAAAGATTGGAGGAAAAGTTGACAAACCAAGGGACCCATATGAGAAAGATGAAAGATTATCCTGCTCATTGGCCATTTCAGTCAAACACTTTTTTTTTTTTGAACAAGTCCAACTTAGCAATTCCCTCCATTGTCATGTCCCACGTTCTATGGAATTTCCACAACAAAATCAAGTTTAAATGAGAGCTGTTGTTTTTTATCTAGGCACATGTAAGGGGCTAAGTCTATACCATGTTTTGAAGGTTGGTCTAAAATTTCTCCAATTAGTTGAGAAGTTTGAAAAAAGTTCGGATACGTTTTATGATGAACTGAATGAAATAGGAGGGAATATGGACAAAGGTCTTTTTGGTATGCCATTAATGAAAATTTGGACTGTCCTACCAAAATAAATTCTAAAAAATCATTAAGTTACAGGTTTGACCAACGTTTTTCAGGCATTTTTCCAGATTTGTGAACCAGATTTCCCTCCATTCAAAGATTTTTTGAAATAAAACTATGTTTTTCTTTTTACTATCCTTCCAAATTCCGGTCAAGAAATGCATTAACAAATGTAATTAAAAATAAAAGAATTTCAAATTTTGCAGCTACAAGCAAAAAACCAAAAAATGGCAGAAAAGCAAGATCAAGCAACCAGCTGCAATCCTGGTAGATATAGAACCCTGTCAATTTTTATGAGGTAGACAGAGACAAATTTTAAATATTTAAGATAGGTAATAATTTTTTTCATTCATTAATGAAGAGGGTACATGTCAGGAAAATTTGCAGTACTTGAAAAAGGATCAAGTTTGAGGACTATAGTACCAGATTAAATCTAATATGTTAGGAATCAGCTGACAAAAATCACGACAAACTCAAAAGAAAAAAATCATTTTTATAAGGTAATTGCAAAATATATCAAGCTTTCAATAATGCTATAAAGCTTTTTTTCAGTTAAATTTTTAAGAACCCCCATTCTTGCCATGTGAAAAATATAGTCAAGAAAGGTAGTCCAAGTCACCCTGTTCACAGATATTACACTCCAAAGGGCCGGCCAGCCAAGGGGGTAAGAGCAGGACCTGACCAACGATATCGATGCCATGCCATTGCCTACAAAAGACGGTGGACCAGTCACAATGGGAACATTACATGTGAACAGATCTCCAAAACCCACACACCCCATTCTTTAATTATGACAGATTAGTATAAAGAATGTTTTTTAGGCAAATTCTTCCAATAGAAAATTAAAGCTTATCAAGAAAAAAGGATAGCCTTGTGCTTCCTAGGGGATTAGGACCCCCATCATCAAAATTATCATAAGATATAGGGTAGGGGACCCTTCAACTTTAATCCTAGGGCATTGAGCTACTACAAAATTATACCTAGTGGATAACGTAATTACTTTTTGTTGAGTTTAGCGCCTTTATAACTCCTAAACGGTGCACATCTGAAAAAAGGCCTTAGAATCCTAGAAGCTATTTTCTTCCAACAATGGTATTGGGACTTTGGCTTTTATTTTTTTCTAAATTACAGGTTAGATTATGTAGCCCATAACCATTTGATAGAGAAAAAGAAACCCTAATCTTATTTCGTCCAGGGACTTTTTTCATGGCTTATAAAAATCATTTGGTAATTGGTTCCATAGCCCCATCAACTTGGAAATTTGTTAATTTGTTTTCTAATGTTACATCCAGTCTTATGACACTGTTATTGTTGGAAAGATATTAAAAATCTCTCATCCAACTATATTTATTGGATTAATCCTATATCAACAGTCTAAATCAACATTGATAATGAAATTAATGACAAAGAAGTCACCCTAATAATCCAAATTATATCCTATCGACTTGGTAAGCATTACCATCAAAATGCTTTTTTATTCTTATAATTAGTAACATTTAGTAAATGAATTGGATTAAAAATTTTTGACAATATTGGTGTCTTGTTCTAAACCAAAAGGGCAAGTATAAACTGTTTTTTATTTTCTTTACCAGAACATCCTTAATAATTTATATCAATGCAAGTTTTTTTCTTTTTCTTTTGCATGGTATAATTTTATTCAAGTTAAACATTTCCTTTTCAACCCGTGGAAGCATGGCATTAAATATAAAAAATATTTAACAATTACTTATTTTTAATAAAAAAATGGCATATTCTATATAACCTTTAATCGGCTTAGTTGGGACAGTTCAATGATGAATACTCTGAAATTTATTTTAGCACACGTCTCAAGATCATTAAAAACAAAAACTATACATATAGTACTAATATTTATTTATAGTAATTGATAAAGGAAGTCTTTCGGCCAATCTGAGACCTAGCAACATTTGTGGAAGGAAAAATTAATTTGGAGAGGCCATGGGCAATGGGTTTAGGTACTTAGCCCTATCATCAATCTTTAAATTTCATTATTATTATTATAGGCCTAAGCAGCATTAATAATGGGGATAGGTGTTCCTTTATCTCTCTCAAGCTATAGTTAAAATGGATTAGTTGATGCCCTAATACCAATAGGGTTTAGGGCAGGGTGTCCTTCGTTTATTTCAAAGGGTCAAAAAATGGTTTCACAAACAATTATAAAATTCTGAACCCTCTCCTTCCCTTACATCTGACACTGTCAATGTTCTTTCATTCATTCACCCGTCACATGCTTTGACTGCTTACTTAAAAAGTGGAATATTTAGCTACTTTCCCTCGTTCTATTTTTCCTTTCTTTTTCTTACTATTTTGGTTTTTTTCCAAATTCCAATCATGTGCCTTTGAAATAATCGTCAAAAACTCTGCGAGGAACTCAAAATTCTGAGTAGTATAAAAAAGTTTGTTCTTTGTTATCGAAGTTTAATCAATTGATTTATATAATTATTTTTAAATAAAAATATAAATAAATAAAATTTTTGATAAATTATGTATAAATATATTTAATTTTTTTATTAATTTTAATAAATAATTTTAAATAAATTTTTATAATCATTTATTAAATTAAATGAACACGAATAAATATTTATTTAATTTATTTATATTTACAAATAAATTCATTTAAAATTCATTCGTTTAAGATTTGTTTATGATTCATTTATATTATTTTATTATTTAGTAATAATAATAATAAAAAATTAAATTTTTATCCTTAATTCTAATCTTATTATAATTCATCTATATTTGTTTAAAATTTATTTATTTAAATTTATTTAATTATAATTTTTTATTACTTATAAATATATTTATTTATATATATTTGTGAACATATTCGTTTAACTTAATTAACTTGAATATAAATTGAACGTAAACATCTTATAATTTAAACAAACCAAGCTCGAATAAATAAAAATTTTTATTATCGAAGCGAATCAAGCTGAAATATTTTTAAAAATAAACAAATAAATCATGAACATATATTTATTCGTTTATATTCAATTCATTTACATATTTACTTTTAAAATACAATATTTAATGAATATGAAATTTGAATTCTAACACTTACAACTCATTTCCTTATTCTAAACTGCAATCTTATATCTATACAATAAATAATAATTGTCAACTATATTTCAATTCAAAATCATATCATATTTAACATTTAAAATGATTTTAGGATTAAAAATATCTTTCTAATAATTCACACATAATTGAATCATATCTATCTTGATAATGACTGCAAAGATTAGCATAAAAATTTACTTAACAAAATTTTTTATCCCATAAAAATTGATAACATGAAAAATTAATATATTTTATATCATAAAGTGAAAATTGTATATTAAAATATATTATATTTTAAGATTAATTCTATAAAAAATTATAAATATAAAAAAAAAATTATATATATATAAAGAAATTCCTCTTTGTATAACGAATTAAATTATTATTCTCTATTTATAGAAAGTTCGGATTTTAAGTTTTATAAAAAAAAAATGTTACATATGATGGTGTTTTAATTTGAGGATAAATCAGTGTCAAATTAATGGGTTTTACATTTTCTATGTATTAGTTTCACACTCTTTTCCAATTTTATTTTATGATTAATTTTTTTAACAAATGGATTTATTAGATTTAATGATACATAATTGTACTCATTGTATAAGTAAAATTTCAAATCAATTTGATAATGTTATAGAAAATACTATCTTTTTAATATATATTTAATTAAAAATTTTGTATCAAATAAATAAGTAAATATTTTTAATTAATTTAAAATTTAACGTACATAACTCATATATAAATAAAACATGAAATATAAGAATCAAATTAAATAAATATAAATTATATAAAAAATTATGAAAGTGTATAAAATGTGTAAGATAATATTTTTATTTTAATATTCTTTGTGTGTTTGTGAAATTCAAAAAGATTGTATATAAGATAAATTTTAATGAATATTATATTTTTGTCTATATAAATATTTATTGTTGAAAAAAATTAGTAGGCATGGCTAGATTAGCGGCGTCAAATTCCGCCCTTCACTTTTTCTTTTAGTAATTTTTAACATTTAACATATACAAAAAATCGTGTCTCATGCAGGAAAATTTTTTTTCAATATGTTGACCAATAAATTTAAGATTTACACCCAAAAAAGTAAAGCGTGCTAATTGTTTTAATTTTTTAGAATTGTAATTTTTTTTGTTGAAAAAATTTTTAAAACGAGAGAGATTATCTTAGTAAAATTAAATCAAAGTTTGTGAGTTAATTTTAGCTGTGCAATTATTTTAAAGAATATAAATTTAAAAATTTATTTTTAATACATTAATAAGATAATTTTTAACTTTATACGTGAAATTAAAATCCTATCGCAGGCTTTTTTTTATAATTATTTTTTATTAATATATTAAAAAATAGTATGTTTATATGTATATAAGTAAATTTAATAATTTTTAAACGTAATTAATTTTTTTAATACAAGTGTATATTAATTTTGTTATCGATAACTGATTATTATTAAAAGATTTTTTTGAGGCTATCGAGTGGGTACGAACGAGGTTTGGTGAGAAGTCATGTCAATCACATTCCTATCTCATTTCTCAACAACTGGAATTTAGATTAGATTAGATTTACGCTGCAAAAATCTTTGGACTTTCATCAAACCCTTATTGGCCAATTTTTGAACTCTCAACCACTCTCTGCTCCGTCTTCTTCAGATTTGATCTCAGTTTGTACTTTCCTGCACTCCCTGGCGTCATCTTTTGCTTCCATTTTACCCTTTCACTTGTCATTGGTCAAAGCACAAACTTTTTTTTTTTTGGCATTGTTTTTAAAATGATAAAACTTTTGAATTTTGCTGGAGTTGTTGTTGATGTAATATCAGTAGCAGGTATTAAGTCCGGCCGCTTGATAATAACACTCACTGGTTGTGTCGACGGTGTTTTTGAATTGTTTTGATTAAAAAAATTTAGAAAATCAAATCCCCAATCACTTTGTTGTGATTTTATTCTTTCTTATCATAAATTGTACTCATTTATTGATGGTACTTATTTTTCGTGCAAAACATGGATAATTAATACGGATAATGATGAACACTCATTTTTCGTCCGTAATTCAATTTTGTAAGCAAAAAATGTAAAAAAAAAAAAAAAAAACCTTAGTTGTAATAAATAATGCTATCCACGTTGGTCAAACATTGGAATAGTGGGGACCTCCCAAAAAGGAAATCAGTCAAACTTTTCAGTCATTAATACTAAAGAAAGAGAATAAATTAAAATGATTAGACTGATTAATTGATATGTTTCAATCTGCAATTATTATCATTTCATATATGATTTAGCTACTGTTACCCTTTTTTTACATTACTTGATCAGTTAATCCTCTAATTTCCTTTGATTTGTTTGTCTATGGAAAATAAAAAACAAGTAAAAATAAAAGAAGATGTTTATAATTATGTTTTTTTTTTTTTTTTTAGTGTTTGCGAATTTTGTGAATGATTGATAATGACCCGATTGCTGTTTTAGAAGGCAATGGCAAATACTATACAGAGCAAAATGAAATCCCACTTTTTCATTATTGCAGTTCTTCAATAGCCAACGGTGGTCTTCATCATTTCCGTAATTTTCTTTGTCTTTTGTTGAAAACAGAAAGAAAAAGAAACCAGTTTTTTAGTGTTACTTTAAAGAATTTCAATTACTACAAAGAACAAGTGTTTGTAGTAATCGGCAATTTCTCGCCTAGTTTTGAGTTCAAAGGTTGAAACTATAGAGTAACGCTGAGCAGGAGTTTCACATTGGTCAGCCCACACTGATACGGCCACGTCAGGTGGACACCACGGAGTGATGACGTGGCGATATCAGAAGGGGACGATGTAGAAGGTTATAATGGAGGGGTGAAGTGAGAAGAAGAGAGGATCATGATTTGAAGAATGGTCATAGGTCCTATGATATACACATGTCGGCTACAAAACACTCAAAATACAGACTCTGTCATGTTTCTTTATTCCTTCTATCTCTGCTCGTTTAACGTAGAAAGTTAGAAACTCTACAGTGAGAGAAAGAAAGAAAACTGAAGTGTGTTTAGAGTCTTATTAGAGTTAATAGAGACAGAGAGAGATCCAATGGAGTATGAGAGAATAGACAAAGTTCAGGTAACCATTTTTTGTTGTTCTTTGAGCTTTTGTATGTTAATGGAGGGGGGGGGGGGGTTGAAGTTTTGGCTTATGAATTGTTAATGGCAACTTTCTTTTAGAAAAAGGAGTTTAAAATGTGAAATGAAAAAACGAAAACTTGGCTTTGGGTGTTGAATGGCTTTGGTTCTGATCCGGGTTTTAAACAAATTTCAAAGTTTAAAGATTTTTTTTTCTGTTCTTGTTTTATTGAATTAAAAGTGAGGAGAAACAAATTTGTGGGTATTGAGTAATTATGAGTTTTTTGCCAAAAATTGAACCTTTCTAGATGATGGGAAAGTGGGAATTGATTTCCTTGCTTGTTTTTTGCAGAAAGTTGAATGCTTCCTTTTTTTTTAGTTGGTTGTGATGGGAAGGTTTAATTTGTTTGTATCACATTTTCTTTTTATTGATGGAAGCAAAAGACTAGGTAAGTATCATGATTTTTCTTGTATTTGATCATAGTTTAATATGGTACGTGGCCTTACTAAAATGATTTTAGTACATTGATTATACATAAAAGGGAAGTTTGTGGACTTAATTTCTTTTCTTCATTTGAAATTGAGTGTGAATTCAAGTTGATTTCTTTTTTCCCCTTTTAAATCGCTGTTTTGATCTATACTACAGAGTGGTATTTCACCAAGTAAATTAAGGATGAAGCTGATGGGGCCTCATCATAACAGAAAGAAGGATGGATCAAACAGCAATTCTTCTAGGACATCTCCTTCTAGGATTCAGGATGCTGAGTTTGTGAACAGTCTATTAGCCTCTAAGAATGGAGACTTTGATGAGGAAGGTTTGTTACTTTCTCTCCTTTCTTCATTATAATAACTCGTATATTGGACTTCTTTCTTTGCCTGAATAAAACAAGCAATTAGAATATCTGTGAATTTTCAATCTGGGTAGAAATCTGCTACTTTTGAAGCTCTTATGGTCTGTAAATTAGATATGGATAACATTTCTTTTGAAGTATTTTTTTCCTTTTTTGGTTGAAACATACTAGCATTAACTTCGCTAAATATGGTTCCAGTTGTTTCTTGGCCTGGTTTAGGCAGGGAGAAGATGCAATGAGCAAAGTGTTTTTTCTATATTTGCATGCTGACTAACACATTCATTTGAATTGCAGTTCCCAGCTTAGATGTTGCACCAGCTAAAATATCCAATGAGGTAGTGCTTGATTCCAGCCTAAATGATCAAATTTCTAGCCAAGCAAAGGAGTCACTGCCAAGGGAAAGCATTGAAGTGGGTCGTGCTAAATTGCAGCAATTCTCAATGACTGATAATGGTAATTCCAGCACAATAGATCCAATGAGGAGACTAGAAGATGAAAATCTTGATTATGATAGCAATGCTAGTTCATCAAGCTTTGAGTTTCATAAAGGGGAGAGAACAGTACATAATTCCATGACAAGGTCATACGCGAGACCTATGTCATCTAAGTGGAATGATGCAGAGAAATGGATAATGAACAGGCAAAACCTGCAAGCTACTTATGCTAAGAAGAATGCATTTCACAACCAAGCTAATCGATTTCCCATGACAAATATGGTGAGAGTTGCTCCAGAGTCTGCAAATTATGATCAGAGGTCAGCTGTTAATCATGTAGCTGACACAAAGAGGGTAGATTTCTGTCAGCCTGTTGTGCAGATGCCATTCGAGAAGTTCTCTTTTATTCCTTCTGGAGCTCATCCTATTTCAGTGCAAGCATATGGAGGAAACTTATTAAGTGATCAGTGTCCTCAAAGTAGGGATTTGAGGGAAGTGGCTCAGTGGGATTTATCTTGTACAAAAAGTTTAACAGAAGATACAACAGGTAAATTTGCATATTGAAGTTTTATATATTTTCTGTCTGAAAAGATGTATTAGTGGACTACGTATTTAGTGGTGCACTGTGCATCCAGGTTGATTGTATACTCAACTATATCATTTGATTACCATATTGAGCACTTGCCTTATAATTTTATTAAGAACACTGAAATGTTTGACTCACATGCAACAGATTGAGCCATGGGGCTGGGCAACTGCTGCTTTCAGTCTTCTGGTCTCCAAATGGATGCTATGAATTGAGTGAAGGGTTTACGAGGGTTAAGCTATTATAATTACATATGCATATGATGATTTCTTATATGGGCCTTGAAATAATGTGAATTGATGGGATGGATGGTCAGCTATCCCTGTGGGGAGCACAAATAAGGGATTTCGAGCTCCTTCGTATCCTTTTTTTTTTTTGTGGGGAGGGGATGTGGAGGAGAATTTATAAAGTTTGGTTTTTCTGCCGTCACAACATTGTCAGTTTATTTTTTTAATAAATTTCAGACAATAGTTGCAATTGCAATGTTAGTTTCTTTTCCTCCTACCCTCAAATGGCTTGAAACCTTTTTTGTATTCTTTACACAATATATTGATCATAGTTTTTCTATTTAATCTTTATCTCATGCCTTAAGATTTGGCCTTGCAGTTATTCCTGCAATACGATCAGTTTCTATGAGAGATATGGGAACAGAAATGACACCTGTTACAAGTCAAGAGCCTTCTAGGACTGCTACACCTGTAGGGGCAACAACCCCACTCCGAAGCCCGGCATCTTCAATCCCGTCTACTCCCCGCACAGGGGCACCAACGTCGACGCCTTTGGACCACACTATAGATGATGAGTCACAGCATCCTCCTGATAATGGCAAGAAGGAATTGTCTGAGCAAGAAATGAAGCTCAAGACAAGAAGAGAGATTGTAGCCCTTGGTGTCCGGCTTGGCAAGATGAATATTGCTGCTTGGGCAAGCAAAGACGAGAAGGAGAACAATACATCTTCAGTTGACACCACTCATATGGAGGAGCTTGAGCAGATTGAATATGAAAAACGAGCAGCTGCATGGGAAGAAGCTGAAAAGTCTAAGCATACAGCAAGGTTCTGATATGACCCGATCCTTATGCAATGTTGTATGCTCATAAAACTATTTCCCATCACTTTACTTTTGCTGAATGCATATTTCAATTTCTCAGGTATAAGCGTGAAGAGATCAAAATACAAGCATGGGAGAGTCAGCAGAGAGCAAAACTAGAAGCAGAGATGCGGAGAATAGAGGTATATGAAATCCCTTTTCTGATCACATGCTCAAGTAATTCTTCTTATTTGAAGATTACTGATCTCTTTGATGGCAATTGGTAAAAAAAAGGCTCAAGGAAAGTGAACCTGGATAAGAAATTAGTAGGAAAGGCAGTTATGTTCATCTTAACCTCTAATCTTCTGACATGATTCGATGGAAATGAACCCTGAATTATTTTTTATTTTAGGTTGAGATTATGCAGTTAATTAAGTGCCATTACAAAATCTAATGCATTTGACTCACAGTCTTTGTTTAACCAGAAAGATTGCAATCAATCATATTATGTGACCATATGCTGAGCAATAAGTACTGGTAATAATTATATAAATCTTTACTTTTCAGGCAAAAGTAGAGCAAATGAGAGCCCAAGCTCAGGCAAAGATGGTGAAGAAGATTGCCATGGCTAGGCAAAGATCAGAAGAAAAACGAGCTGCAGCCGAAGCCAGAAAAAATGGAGATGCGGAGAGAACTTCTGCTCAAGCAGAATACATTCGCCAAACCGGAAAAATGCCATCATCTCATTACATGTGCTGTGGTTGGTTTTCCTAAAATATAGTAAACAACGAATAAAAGCAAAAGCGCTCATACACTTACTGAGCCAAAGTAGCATCTCTTGTACCTTGTTTTGAGTATTAGCGACGATGGTCAAGGAGTGTTGTATTTTATAGAGTGGTCTTTAGCTTTTTGTGTTACTTGGAAAGATGAAATGAATAGTGCAATTGATGCAATTAATGTTAATGCCAATAGGATTTTCACACCAAGTTTTCAAGAAATTAAAGAGGATCGATGTTTTAGTTGTGTCTTAATCCTTTTTTTATGCGCCATGTTTTTTAAGTTTACCTTGCCAATGGCAATGACATTGGGCGGTTGGCCATTTTCGAAGGGGAAGCACTGAAGCAGTTGGTCAAAGTCAACCCAACGGGGCGGAAGTGGGGACTGTCTCTATGCCCCATCTGCCGAACTCATTTAGTCAGCATAATTTTTGGTGCTGAAGTGTCCGTACATGGTTTGGATCGGCTCCATATTCTTGAAGAGTTGGGCTTCTACCCAGCCCCAACCTCTCAAAAAAGGACTAGACCCATGTCAACCAAACTCTCCAAACTATTTTCCTAGACTTGACAGGATCTCTGCCCTGATCAGTACAAGTTGTTGGGTTTAGCATATTTTGGCTCCTGGACTCGGTTGAAAATTGCCTGGGAATTGACTCTGGCTGTAGCTTTGGCTTCAATGAACATTTGATCTAATTCAAATCTCTTTTAGTTCTTTGTGTAACGGGTTAAATCTCCTTGGTAATAGTGAAAATACATCAGTAGCTCCTTTCTGATCTGTTTGGTTCCTTTTTGTAGTTTCTACAGTCTTCGGGGGTTTCAAGTTCCCACTGGTGCTAGCCGAGCGCTGCAATAGCTTTCTGTTTCAGGCCTTTGGAAACCAATACCAATTAAACCAATACCAATTACCTAGCAATTTCTGATTCATGGATTAGGTTTGTAATTGTATCAAGCATATTCTTTTAGGAACACTTTCTACATCAAATTTCCCTCCATAGCTAATCCTTAATCTGTTCTTTGGGTGAATTTTGTTTTGCAATTGTACCATGCATTTCTTTTTATAAACGTTTTTCTTTTCTTTTTTTTTTCTGTTTAAGAATGCTGCTGAAAGTAATCAAGTGTAAAAAGAAAAGAAATGGCTTTTATGCGTAGGAGTTGATGGATTCAGACAGCTGAAACTGTCAAAAATAGAAAAGAAAAGTGAAAAAGAACATAAAAAACGCATACATATGAACATATTTTTAATGAAATTAAACCTGATATACTATGTTCGTGCCCAGGTTTACATAAACCTTATAACCGTAAATTGTAATATACCACAAACTTCCATTACTCTCCAAGGGTCCTCCAACCATCAAAATAGCAGGGCTTGACTACTAAAAGATTGGCTTAAAATCCGACTGATCCGTCTCGGAGTACAGAAATGCAAGGGCTGATCATAAACTATCTTTTAGGACTCAAACCAGTGGGAAAACAGCCTACGTACTTCATTCTTCCCCACATTCATGGAGGGAATAAAAGGAAACTGTTATTTATGAGTTCATGACCAAGTGCCAGAGTAATCGAGTAGAAGGAATCTTTGAAAAACCATTCTCCCTCACCACAGCTAAAAGGGAATCTTCTAGTACTTGCTTGCACGAAACACATATAATTCATACGTATTAAACGAGTTTAAATGTTCTTGTATTGGTTGATTCAATCGGTTAAGATTATTTTTATTTTACGAAAAGATCATGTGAGTTCGAGTCTTATCGATAGTTATTTGTTGAAATTATCTTGAATACATGATCTACAATCATTTATCTTAGATTATCAAATACAATACACCTTAATACAAAAGACTGAAAAAAAAAAAAATTTTGTTACGTACTTGACAGAACATGGGTCAAGCAAAAGCCTTTGATGCAGTTTAAGATAAAAGGAAAAAGGACATCCACCCAAAACACAAAGGGCTTTGAGGGGAGGTTGTTGGATGGCCAGCCAAACCCCCTTTAATTTTGAATTGGTACTATTATTGTTGTTGCGGTGCCCACCATTTGTCACCATTCCATCCCTCAAACTCAAGTCCTGTCTATTATTGTCAAATGCCCCACAACATGCAATCACAAAAACACAAAGCTAACCCTTCATTTCCAACTTTACACTGTAGCCACTCAGTCCCATAAACCCCAAAAAGATACCTCAACTAATATCTCCCTTTTTATCTCTCCCCACCCTTCTTTTAAATTCATGGATTTCATCCTCAAGTGGAAATAGGAATGTGGTAGAAATTCCCATAAAATTGGCTGTTGTGGAGATGATGATCATCAAACATGTCCACTCTAGGTGCCATCATTTATCAGTCCTCAAAAACCACGGCGCTAGACCTTTTTTTTCCCCGATACGTTTGAAGGACTGGTCTCACTTTCATCAAATAGGTGACTTGGGTCGAAGTGATGGCATATGTTTTCCCTTCAGGTTGGATATTGACAACCAAGCAAGGTTGATGAGCTGATGATGATAGTGAAAGTAGGGATCATGTTCACTTTCCAAAAGTTGGAACAAAACAAGAAAAGGGGGCCATTCTCACACTAATGGAATGCAGTATCGGTTGGTTTTTGACAAATAATTAGTACAAGGACCCATCACATGGCTCTGGGATTATCAGCCATCCAATTTCATTCCAGAGAGGAATTTTCAAAACTAGGGAAACTTTAAAAATAGTTCAACATCAAATTCATTGTCGTTTGTTTTTTAACCTTCACCTCACAATAAATTGACTACTCAAGAATGAGTGGTAAAGGCAAGACTTCACAAATATTTCATATCCTAATAAATATGGCTTATACATATTTCAATAACATAGACGACAAAAATCTCTTATAATTACAGTATTAGCATATATATATATATATATATATATAAACTTCAAGCTAGAGCTAGGCAGCTCTTTCCACCTTCTATAAAAGGGTTGCAAGAGACGCTAATATTACAGGAGAAAAACAATATCTTAACCGGTCAAATTGTTCAGTAATCCAAAGACCCCACAGAAGCAATACCGGAGCTCAAATTTCTAGACTCCTGCCGGCTTACATAGTCATCACAACCGCCGTTAGAAAGCCTCTGAACTGGGACAGAGTTTAAAAGCTCCAGGCCTTGTTTGCCCATTTGCTGCACTTCCTGCGGTGAAAGTATCTTGATACACCAGACACTGTTCACAAACTCCCTGGTGGAAGGGTAAAAAAAAAAAAGGAGAAAAATAAAGTCCAGAATTAGCAAATGAAGAAGCAAACATGTGAAAACCCGAAATAGATTTAAATACATGCACCCAAAGAACTCAATACACCTCCTAGAGACCGAGAAAAATATCCATACAATAGTAGTAAGGAAAGCAGAAACTTACGGCCAGGGATCATCACCAAGGAGAAGAACGTCATTCTCCCGGTCAACGAATACAAGCTGCCAGCCTGATCTCAAAGGGTCCTCCAACAGGCCTTCAAGGCCAAACATGCGTGCAAGTTCACTCCGCAGCTCATTGTAGCTGCTGAATTTGGAGATATCCAATGACCTCCCAAAGGACCCTGATTTATAAACCTGTTCCATAGGAAAAGCATTCACATTAATTACCAAGAATCAACATAATTGTCTGAAAAACAAAGGACAACAACACTGTTAACAGATCAAACTTGCAACATGTAAAAGAGAACCAAATTCACAAACCAAATGAAACTCATAACAACATCCAAATTCATTAATCTAGAAGTATCAATTAAAAACAAAAGTCAACTGACCTTAACAAAGGTTCTAGTTTGTGGGTTTCCTTGGCCCACATTTTCTGGAGACTGCAAGATTCCCGATTCATCAATGTAACTGGAAGGTGTCATTGCTGTATTAATTGAAAACTCAGCACCTGCAGTACTCATGTAATTAGAAGAGAAGGATATAGTAGCTGAGTCACTATCACTTCCAATTCCCCTAAGGCTTGACATCCCATTTTGCATTAGAAGAGATGAAGGTTGATCTATATTAACACCAAATAAGAGATGGCTCTGTGGATCGGTGCCCCCTTCTTGGTCGATCGAGCACTCCTTGCCAGGAAATGGTGGCAATAATATAGAATTTTGAGACGTATTTGTCTGGACTGGTCCCAACTGTTCCACCTGGGGCATAACACACTGTGGAGATCCAGATGAGAGAAGTTGAACAGCAGCCCGCTTGGATGGCCATGCAGCAGGAGTTAGTACGGGGTTGGATCTAGGGAAGTTGAGCAGATTGGATGATTCATCTTGGGGAAAAGAGCCCAAAAGACTATGCAAAGGAGAGACAATAGGGCTGGTCACAGGGTTCACATTTGAATCAGAAAAACTCCGTTGTTGGCAGAGTGAAGGTATGGCTTGCAAAGGTGATGACTGGGATTGAGAGGCTGAAGCATACTGTGACATAGCAGACACTGCACTAGAAATCTGCTGATGGTCAACCAGTTGCTGGTGTTGCTGTGACAGTGGATGCTGCAGCTGCTGTTGGTGTTGGTGTTGCTGTTGATTATTAAATGAATTCTGGTGCTGCAATTGTTGCTGAAGAATATGTGGCTGAGTTTGAGCCTGAGCCTGAGCCCTGAGACTGATGCTGGTTGTCTTCAACACCCTGAAGAAAGGCCTGAGGCTGAGACTGCTGCAACATCTGGGGCTGCATTAAAACTGCAGGCCTGTAAGGTAGATTTTGGGGTTGCTGGAATTGCAGAAGGGAAGCAGTAGCAGCTTTGGAAGGATCCATTGCTCTCATCTCTTGCAGTGCAGCAGCAGCCATAGCTTGGTACATGTCAGGCTGCAAACCTGGTATGGAAGCATCCATCCTTGGCTGCATCCATGGTGTAACTCCAATCCCCTGAACATTCAGAGACTGCATTCCTCCATCAGCATCTCCTCGCAGCCACAAAAGTGGAGAATTCATGCCTAGATCATTATCCTTGATGCCTAAGAGCAAGAGAAAGTCAAATTAAAAGGAATAAGGATGTTAAAGAATTAAACACACAAATAAAAAGAAATAAGTTTTTTTCTTATTTTCAAATGCAACATGAAGGAGAAAAGAGAAATAAAACAGATAGTTAAAGCTGCACAGCCATGGATTTTGGCAGCAGACTAGCGTACCATGGAAAGAAGGTAATCCTGGTGGCCATGGTCGCTTAAGCCTTAAAGCAAATGGAGATGGATACATGGGGAATGTTGTCAGTGGTTCAATCTCCCACAAGGAGACTCTTGGCTGCCTTTCTCCAGCTGTTGATTCATCCCAGCCAACCTGCATGAATAAGTTAAATTCCACAAAATCTCATCACCATCTCTAGAAAGGCTAAAACAACAAAATATGCAAGATTCTCAATATACAAATGATAAAAGCAATCCTTCTCAACATGCCTTCACTGATCGCCAATGTGAATTTGGCCACCGAACAGGATCTAAATCACTTATGCCAGTTATTGTGCCCATGTATCTGAAAAACACACAACCATCAGATGCAAAGTCCACAATGATCACAAGTAAACAAATGAGATGGGGCACAAACAAAGAAAGAGAACAACGTGATCTGTAGATGATCCACAAAGGCATTAGAAAAGAGCATAAATAAAACAGCACATATAATTTTAACATATAGAACAACTGCAATTTAATCTTTTGTAAGGAAAGCCAGTCAGACAACAATCCACTGTTAAAAGAATGATAATCTAATCATTTACAAGGAAATCTATTTTAAACAGTGAGAATCAACTATTAAAAATGAAAACATTTGAAACTTACCGACGAACACTTGATTCTTCTGTTTCAAACAGCATTCTAAAACGCATACCAACAGAAACTCGAGTATTATAGGCAGCTTTGATATATTTTGCCAGAGGTACGACAAACTCTGATGGACTAGCCCTGAATTGAAGGGGGATAAGTTTAGATGGGCTCAGAAACCACTAGACAGAACAGTTTAATGATTATTGAGATGCATGGCAATAGCACAGTACCTTGGGTTATAAAATATAGTGAAGCGACTATTTGTGGCAGCTGCATGAGCGGCAGCAGCAAGAAGCCCTAAGTGCATGCTATCACTTGATAAAACTGATGATGGCATTACAGTTTGAGGTCGATTAGCTCGTCGGATACCAAGAAGTAATTGATTTTTTTCATTCCTGTCAAAATAACCCATATGTTGGTTTGAGCATCAAAATATTGAAAATCTACAACAAATAGCATTTTAAATAGCAAAAACAGTTGGAGAAAAGGCACAAATCAAGAAAGAGCATTCTCCATATTGCACCATTGACATAACATGTGAGCAGAAGAAATGGTTCTCAATAGGTCATTGAGGAATATTTTTAGCCCAAAATTCAACAAATGACATGCAACAAACAAATCTCATATCAAGTTTTTTCATAGAAATTCATCAATGTTTCTTTGGCTAAGCATTTGAGAAAAGAAGGACAAATGCAAGTACCATAGCTAGAATTCTCAAGATTTTTTTTTTTTGCACCCAAGAATGCCAAAACTCAAATAAAGAACAGCAAGAATTATCCACTTGGACATGAGAATGCTAGACAAAAAAGATTAAATCTACTCTGTCCTGCTGCAAGTAGAGGCAAACTAAAATGGAAGAAAAGCCAGCTGCCTACCAGATGAAAAGCACTGAATCACCCGCAACTAGTCTTTTAGCACTTACAAACACACTCCATCCTGTTGTCAAGAGGTGCCTTTTGGGCTGACCTGCATGGGACAAATCAATGACTGGTAGTTAAATACGATTATAGTGTTAGGGCAATTAGATTGTGGGAATTAAACCACTTTATGGCATACATGACAAATAATGAATGGTAGCCACAATTATAATTAAGGTAGTGTCCATTGTCTAAGTGAAATAATAAGTTAAAGAAGCCATTCTCTACAACTTTACAATGGAATATGAAGTTGAAAATTGCATCCTTGGTGGAAAAGATCCATATTTGTAGAGGAAGAGGGGATTCTTAATAAACTCACCCCGAAATATATGCCTAAATTTCCATTCATTATCATGCAAGTCCCTTGCAATCAACTCTTGAGCTGGAGGCAGCAGGGAGAAGTCCTGCAGACAATCAATAGCATAAAATTAGAAATAACTCATTGCAATTAAAAGCACAACAAGACATCAACCAATGTGGCAACAACAGTTTACCAGTGGAGGAAACACTTTTTCAGCTGCTCGGCGAGGAACAGAGAACCCTCCATGAGTGCTTGTGTCACTGGCTGTTAATGTTTTACAGAAATAATTTGTTGGCTGTTTGCTGGGAGTGCCCAACTCTACTGGTAGGTAAGCCTCCTTTTGTTCTTGCTGTAAAGCAAGTACTCTTCAATACTTGAAGCAATCAATAAGACCAACAAAATAACAAGAGAACCCATACAAAATAGCATACCGGACTCAGTGGCTGCAACATCATTTGTGCGTAAACTTCATCTGTCTCAACATCTGCCTGAAGTTGACAAATTTTGAGGCTTTAGAGGCAACTCTATAGACATAGCATCAGAAAACCAAACCAAACAAGCCTTACATGCATGGTAACATTATGGAGCTGACAAATAAGTTGTGGAGGTAAACTTGGGTAGTTAGGTATGTGGGCATCCACTTCCTTGTTGGTTGATGCAGCTACCTACAAAGAAAACCACCAATTTAAGCATCAAAAGCATGTTTGGTTAGTGAATAAAACGTCTAATTAAGTACAATAAAACCACCGTAATTGGAAAAAACCAGATTGCTATCATAACTAATATATTTCATATGCCCATGACTATGAGTTACAGTCAGGCCATAGCAAAACACAATATAGAGAAAGGGGGAATCCATTGCCAACACCTTAAATTGTTTCATAAGAGTTTTACAGTAAATATTACATATTTGAAACATGGCATGCACTTGCATATAATATAGATACTAATAATCAGCAATTACTACTCAAATGTGTACTTACTTACCAATCCTTGCCAAAAAGAAAATAGTTTTCAATAGCTTAAATATAAAGAACCAACAAAAAAATAACTGGATCTGCATAGCATAAACACCAGAGGGGACTCAAAATCTAGAAGAAAGCCATTACAGCTCCACCAAAGAGGGAAAGCACACTTTCACAAATGCATGGATCATCAATCAATAAAGACTATAGTTTAACCAGAATTACATTTGATAGAGCTCCACCTACAGTTCCCTATGATCCATGACACAAGCACTTATCATAACACAGAAAATGGTTCCCACAATATACAATAACTCCTTTTTCCATGGAACCACGACTTGTCATTTATGATCTCTCCTAACAAGGTGGGCTGGGAAAGTTGGGGGTCAACAATCTGAGTTTCCCAGGGATTTTCAACAACCAATTCATGTATATTGCAAGTTTTAAATTTTGGTTTGAGAGTCTGATAGGATGGTAATATGAGGAAATTATACAAAATTCCAGGCCAGCAAAAACCCTGATTTTACTTTCTAGAAATATACCCATCTGTCCATCTGATATTTTAAAAAAATGATCAAACTTAATCTAAAACGATAAGGAGGGGCTGCACAGGCAAATGACCTGGAGTCAGGAGGGGCTGCACAGGCAAATGACCTTACAGTAAGATGATATTTAAAGATCACCCTTACTCATTTACCTTCTTTCAATTAATAGTAAAAGGGCAGCAATGATGATATGCTGCAAAATAACTTTTTCACTTTTTCCTCGGCAAAGATAGTGAAACAACATTCATAATTTATTCTTCACGAAGCAAACGGAAGAAGATACACACATACCATCTCCAATACACAAAATATGCTTCAAAATCCATTACTAAGAACAAGCTAAATCAAAATTCAAGCATACCAACCTGTTCGCTATGACCCTGTGGGAAATAAACAACCCTACTTCCAACCGGAGGTAGAGAAACAAGAGGACCCGCACATGCATGCCAAAGTTCAGAGTTCAGAACTCTCTTCTCTCCTGCAAAGTCTATTTTGCATTAATTTAAAACTACTTCAACAAAAGTAAAAGAGAAAAATAAAGAAAGAAAAATATAACCTAAAGGTCAAGGGATCCCAAAAGATGGAAAATCCAAACTTCCAACAAGTATGGGTATGCAATACTATGCATTAAACTCCAAAATAACGCTTGAGCAGAACACAAAAAACAAATCCACATAAGACATGAAGAAGACAGAAATTCAGCAAGACGTAACCATATTAAACCTCAGCTTGACATAGAGATAGCGATTAATGAAATCAAATTAGAATGATGTTTAAAAAATTCTTGCGCACTTCTTTACCCCATAAAAAATAAAAAAAAAAAAAGAAATGAATTAATAAAGACAAAATTCAACCAACCAACAAATGGAAATCCGGCTATCATCCTATGCATTTGCATTCAAGACTAGGTAAATCCAAATAAACTGGAGTTACTGATCTGGGGTTTAACAGTTTAACGTTCCAGCTTCTCCTACATTTTCTCAAGTCACAAACAAAGCCAATGGACATCCCAAATTCTACAACTATATGGTAATTTCAACTTCACCTCTCCCAAGGAACTCTATCTAATCCTGAGGAAAAAAAAAGAGGAAAAAAGCGAGAGAAACAGACATTCGACAAATAAGAAGCATACCTTCCTGACTTTGTGGATTGAAACCAGCTGAAGAAAGTTTCATTTTTTTCTAAATAAATTTAAAACACCTTTAAATCCCAAGTTTATACCTCAAGAAAAAGACCCCCACCCCAAAAACCCCTCCTTTAACCACACCAATTAAGCACCGAAATCCTCCAAAGGACACCCACACTCCAAAAACTTTCTTTTAACTCCTTTGTCTCCACAATATAACACCATGCAATTGAGCAAAAAGCTGACAATTTACCCACAAAGAAAAGACTTTAAAAAACAACACAAACCCACAAAGCCCCAAGACTTATTGTCCTTTTTTTTTTTTGGTTTCAACCGAAACCTGTTCTGCTACAAAAGACAATCGCTTTCAGCCTCATCCGCCTCCAACTTCTTCTTCTCCATCCAAAAACCCAAGTGTTTTCTCTTAAACCCAAACCTTAATGCTAAAACAACAACATAACCTTCTCTTTTTTATGTTCCAACACTCTAGCCCCACATTTCACCTCCCAAAAACAAAGACTTTTGATCCTTAAAGTGTGAACAAAACTCCAGCTTTTTTCTTTGAGTTCCTCGAAGCTTGTAACCACTAACCACAGCAACCGAAAAATACCGAATAGATCTCAGCTTGAAAGATAACGATTTTTCCAGCCTCTCGCCAATAAGTTTCTTTTTTTAACAAAGAAAAAGTCCAGATCTTTGCTCTCACTCACAAACCAAATAAAAAATGACGCAAAAGGTACAACCTGAAAGAATCAAGTAGTACTAGATAGGAGAACTATTACTATGATGCATTTGGGTTTTCTTCTCTCAAAGCTTTCTCTCGTTCGTACAGTCCAACTGTTTTTAGAAGAGGTATTGGGTATTTATAGATATGTTTTTGCAGAAGAATATGCTCACGTTTTATAATATGTATGGTCGAGGATTTTAAAGATGTAGAAATTTTTACTGGTTTATAAGTGAGTGGGCTCTTTTTTTTTTTCTCCAGTAATGGAAACAGTAGAGGTGGTGGTGACTACCGGCAGAGAAAGAAAGGGAAGAGAGTGAGAGAGAAAAAGTTCCCTCTTCCCTGCGGCTTACGACTTGTACTACTTGCTACTCTTTGCCTTTTGCTGCTTGCTTTGCTTTGCTTTCTACTCTCTCTCTGTCTTTTCTTCTATTGCTTTGCCCCTCCAATCAATGACTGAACATACAATCGCCATTATTTTCTTATTTGGGGGTCTATTTTTTATATACCAGTGAAAATTTTGGGCAAAGAAAAAGTGTCCTATGAGAGAGAAAGTGTCAGATTTTTCTTACGGGGAAGGTTTTTGCTTTTTTTTTTTTTTTGTTTTTATTAACAGTACGATTCTGCGTGACTTGGATCATATGTTTACCTTAAACACTTTTTTTTTTATTTTTTTTAAGTGAAGTTATTTATTTATTTATTATTTTAATTTACAATTTTTGAAATATATATTTGATAAGTAATAAGTTATATATCTTACTAAAAATACATATATAATAAATTATATAATTTATCAAATTTTTATATTTAATAAATTAAAAAATTATATTTAAGTTTAAAAAATACTTGAAAAAAACATTCTACATTTTTTATGTTTTCGATATGTAAATTTAAGAATTTTTTATTATGTAAATTGAAAAGTTTTTTAAAATTTTTTTATTTGAAAATTTGGAAATTTTAAAAGTTTCAGAAATATAAAAATTTTAAAAATTGTGAAAAAAATAATTAAATAATTTATTTAGAAATAATTTAAAGACGAAAAAAAAGATGCGGTAAGAATTACCCTATTTTTTAGACAAATTTTGGAGGTGATTGAATTGCCCTTGAACCCTTGAGCAATTACTAAGGAACCTTTTCCTTTTAAGTCATTTTTCTAGTTTAAAAAAAAAAAAAAAAAACCTTCAAAATTCAGGATTTGCATGAAACGATTATGCAGCACTGTTCATGAATAACTTGCACCTTTGCCTCCTTTAAATTCAAATGGCCCAACATAAAAGCCCAACTACAAAGACCAATGATAGTACTAGTTGTATTTGTATGTAAGTTTCTTTTATGGCGTCAGAAGCCAAATTTGATAATAAGAAATGGATTTTGTTTTTTAAGAAATGTTTTTAAAAAGAAAATTGAGATGATGGGAAGTAGTGAATTCAATATGAAACAAAGGAGAAGATAAAAAGAAAATTTATTTTAGTTTCAATTATTCACATGAAATTGTTTGTGTTCTTACAAGGATAGGGATGGTTCGATCACTATAGGAAAATGATGTATTAGCAGTAGTTTTGTAACAGTTATTCACTTACAAACATCGTTAGTTTTTATTTTTTTATAAAACTTAAAACTTTTATTATCAAAATGCTACTAAATTTTTAAATAACGGCATTGGTACTTATAAATATCACCAAAGACTAAATATCAATGGCGTTTCTAGATAAAAACGTCTTGAATAATTTTTATTAAAAATTTTAATGAATAGTAAAAACATATTTTTGACAACCAATGCCTTCAATAATCACGTCATAAAAAATTGTATGAGATTATTGAAGGTGTTTTCACAAAAAGCACATTTAATAACTTGACAAGCAAATTTCACAGGCTTATAAAATTGTTTAGATCATACGAATGTTTACCATCATGTTGTAGATTTGATCCCTCTCTTTTTTTTTTTTTGCACAAATTATTTGTAATTGATTATTTCAGACGTTTTCTTGGTAAAAACGCCTTCACTAATTGCTTTAAAAAAAATTTTAGACAATATTGAAGGCGTTTTTCGTAGAGAGACGCCCTTAATAATCCATAGGCTTTTTAGCCTATAGATGCTTGAAGGCGATTTTATCCAAGAAACACCTTCAAAAACATTTTAGTTAGTATTATTGAAGGTGAATTTGGTATAAAAATGCTTTCAATATTTTTTATTATAGATGATTGAAGGCATTTTCTTGCTAAAAATACTTTCATTAATCCATCAAAATAACATATTTGATATTGTACATGTGTAGTCATTTGTAGGTTTATGTTCAGAAAGACGTTTGCTATCAGTTGTATATTTATGCCCATAAAATATTTGATTTATATATTTGATACTATGAATTACATTTTAGAATTTACATAATGAACATTGTTGTATTGCAATATATTGACAACACATCCGAAATTAAAACTAATAACGTTGCCATATTAATATACTTTTTTGAAATAATCATACTCAGTAATTTATTAAGTACACATAGTGTATTCATATTAAGTATAATATTAATATTAAACCAATACCCCAATGTACAAACTTAAAGTTTCCATTCAACATGGCATGTTAAAAACATTATAACAATTTGTTCCATATATATTTACATTTAACCAACAATGTTTAACCTGAAGGTTTATCAACATTGATAAATGATAATACATAATCACACCATTCTTTACAGACTTCATTCAATTCCTCTTCCGAGAATCTTTCTTTACCCTCCCACTAAAAAAAAAATCAAAAGTAAATGTTAAAAAATGAGAACATAATATACTTTTATATTTTTTAAAAAATATAAGAAGTTTATGAAATTTATACTAACCTTGAATGGTGTGGTCATAAAATCATGTAACACTATCTCTCGCATAAAATGAATGACATAATATCCATATTCAGTATTATCGGGTTGACAAAGTACTTGAAAATTAATTTGAGTGGGTTTAAAAAATATTTATCTACACAAACTCATAAGAAATTGTATATTTCACATTTACCTGTAATGACATCCATTTTGATTTTTTTATCTTCTTATCGAATGCAGATATTACCCTAAATTGAAAAGAAAAATTTTACTTAATACATAACTAAAATTACTTATGAAGAAACAAAAGATATATAATATAATAAAGTATAATACCTATTTGTAAAAGTTTGAATATCAGAGTTAAGCATCATCGTTGGATTAACTGAATTAAGTAAGTATGGCGTTAAGGATTTGGTGTCAATCATAATCAGCACCCAATGACGACTGTAAAATAATAACAATAATATTATCAGATTACGTATCTAATCAGATTTGGGTGAGGTTGGAGTAATTAAGGTTGGAATATAGCTTACTGCGTATTATACAGGAATAATAATAATCAACCGATCTTTTCATGCATAGGATCACATGATTAGCACGATACGTGACTGTGCCACTCTGCTCACTAATGAAGTTAAGGTCAATGAATCTAAATCTGTTAATCAATTGTCTCCCCTTGACCTCTCTATATAAGAAACTGCACGATAACAATCAACACTACTAGTTAGTATTACACTATAATATAGATTACTACATATTGAATGTGCATATTTGTATTTATAAGTTAACCTCATATAAGCAACGATATCAATAGTTGATAATTCATCCGGTTCATAAAATTCTTTAACCTTCTCCACACCAATGTAAGAAAATGATGGTTTATCAAATAACATTTTCTCAAACTCAATGTTTATGAAATTTTTTTTGGATAAATGCTCCAGCGAATATTTGGATAACTCATCCATGAAAATCTGAGCAAGGGTCATACTGTGAGTCTGAACATCATGCTATAATATTTAATGAAATATAAGTATTAAAACAAAATCAATCAATATAATAAACAAATTAATATTCAAATTATAAACAATATCATACTTCTTAGGTGGTAGCAGAGGACAGGATCACTTCCTTACTTTCAACGGAAGCTTCTCGTGTGGGGACGATGCTATCAGGTCGGCCTATTGGCATAACCTGTTGCATTGTTACCAACATGGCCTCCAAAACAGTGAGTTTCTACTGTTGGTCATTGAGGCGTTGCTCCTGGTCATTAATTTATTGCTATTGTTGCTCAATTATTGCTTCATATTGTACATTTTTCATTCATGAGATTTTTGGCTGTTTACCAAAAATTATTGATGGCAAGATAAATTTATCAACCCCACAAATTCGATCAGGCTTTTCTTAGCGCCTAATGCTAAAGACAAAGGATCTTTGCCATACTGGATTGTCACTTCACCAGATTTGATTTTAGTAGCATAATCATCCTGAAAGATAATAATCAGTTAGGCTATAACAATAAATCTATACAAGCTAGTATACAGTCATAGATACAACCACAATACCAATCATACATTATATCAAAAAAATAGTTATACATACAATCTTTTTTATCATTTTCTCGACTGTTTCATCTCTAAATGATCCATCTTTCTGTAGATGTTCTTATTTTTAGACATCTTATCTGAAAATTTTTGTGCTAGAGCTCACTGATTCTTATTAAATTATAGCAATAAAAGAATCAGAATGTATGAAATGAATGTTCATAAATATTCATTAATTAGTATAAAACAAGTGTGTGAATACATACAAGCTGATACTTCATATTTGCATATCATTTTCTTGCTGTCCGATAGTGATATTATTGTTTGACCTGAATGTTTCGTTGTTGTTATTTGATTTTCTATAAAATCAAGAAATTAAGTCAATCACATATGAAGATCAAAGGCTATATTGCATAAAACTTATAAATAATTTTTAATGAAAATAGGTTTGCATACTGAGAAATCTTTTGAAAGCCGATATTGAACAAAATTTATCCAATCTTCAACAATTATGATATCTGCATATGTCACAGGTGGAACAGCCAATATATCACCTTCATCAGCCAGCTATAAAATATACTGGGTTATCAATCTGCTTTTAAAGTCTCTAAATGCTTTTCTAATAGATTGTAACATAATCTTTTTACAGTTAATTGAGACGTTGAACCGTTCATAAATAAGTTAACACGATTAGTATGAACACATTGAATTTTAATTAATTGATCATTTAATAAATTTTACGAAATAGTTGAATAAACATACCACAATCAAATACCATATATCATTTTTGAGATCATCAGGAACACGTCGCCAATAGGTGTACGTAATTGAAATTATACGACGAACGATGGTTCCAATATGAGTAGCCATCTCGATAACTTTTTCAGACACAGGCTGCCCATTTTGATTGAAATCAACATGAATTTTTGTGTCAGTCACTTTGATTTGTTTATTTGAGCCCATTTTCTTTCTTTTTTGGCCTATATGTCTGTCTTGTGCATGTTCATTAGAAGGAGAATGATATTGTTTGAAGTTCATAATACCTATAATCTTGATCATAATTATACGAATTACACAATATGACTATTTAAATTGAACAATATACGTAATTTAATACAACTGCTACCATACTTCATACAAAAATACTATTCAGCAATGTGCTAAGACACATCTTTTAGTAAACCACTTAGAAACACCATTCAG